GACTATAGACCCATTTCCTGCTACAATACAGTGTACAAGTGCATAGCCAAGTTGCTTGCAACTAGGCTACAAATTACACTCCCACATTTCATTGACAAATCACAGGCAGCTTTCATCCATGGCAGGAAAATTACTGACCCCATTCTCCTTGCTCATGAATTGTTAAGAGGATACCACAAGGATGTTTCCCCAACAAGATGTGCCATCAAAGTAGGCCTAAGGAAAACCTTTGATTCTGTGAAATGGGATTTCATACTCAGTTGCCTCTCTCTCTTAAACTTCCCACCTAAATTCATCTCCCTAATCCATGCATGTATTTCCACACCTTCCTTCACCATTGCCTTAAATGGAGAGTTTCAAGGGTTCTTCAAAGGCAAAAGAAGGCTAAGACAAGGAGACCCTGTTTCCCCTTTCCTCTTTGTCATAGTGATGGATGTTTTATCTTCCATTATCAATGACTATGTTAATAGAACCCAATCCTAAGTATCATTGGAGATGTAAGCAACTGAAGATTACACACCTATCTTATGCTGATGACCTCCTCCTACTATGCCATGGTGACATCACCTCTGTCTCAATCCTGAAATCTGCCCTTAACCACTTCTCTTGTATGTTTGGGCTTAACATCAACTTCTCCAAGAGCAGTATATTTTTCTCTGGTACCAATCTCCACACTCAATCACAAATCACAACCTTGTTAGGCATTGAACCTGGCACTCTTCTTGCCAGATACCTTGGAGTCCCTCTCATTTCCACAAATCTTAAGGCACAACACTGCAACATCCTTATTGAGAAGATCACAAATAGGATCTCACATTGGTCTGCTAGATCCTTATCTTATGCAGGTCGACTCCAGCTAATCAAGGCAGTTTTGGTGTCCACTCAAATATATTGGTCAAGCTTATTCATTCTCCCAAAATCTGTTATCAATCAGCTTAATCAAATTTTCAGATCCTTTTTATGGTCAGGCCCTGAGATGAAGACAAGTTAAGCAAAAATTGTTTGGGGGAAAGTTTGTAAACCTAAGAAGGAAGGTGGCCTTGATATCCTAAATCTAGAGCTCTCAAATAAAGCTGGTATCTTGAGGTACATCTGGGATCTCCAAACAAATGGAAATGACAGGCTTTGGATCAATTGGTGTTACACTCACCTTATTAAATCAAGGAACTTTTGGACACTAAAGATTCCACAGCCTTGCTCATGGATGGAGGAAGATTTTGCAGCTTAGACACCCTGCAAGACTCCTCATCCAACATAGGATTGGTGATGGCAATGATACATCTTTTTGGTGGGATAATTGGATCACTGGTGGCCCTCTCAGCACAAGACACTCACTGATTACTCTTACCAATGCTGGATTCACTGACTCAATCAAAGTAGCCACTTTCATTTCAAATTCATCTTGGTCTTTTCCTGCAAGCCTCACTATTGCTTTCCCAGAGCTACTTTCACTCCCTCCTCTATGCCCTTCAAGCAGAGATAAAAAATTGTGGCTAGCATCACCTAATGGTTCCTATAGCCTGAAGCAAACATCATGGTACCTTGCAGATCACTCTCCCCCAGTTCATTGGTTTAATTTGGTGTGGAAAGCACCAACAATTCCAAGAATGAAATTCAATCTATGGCTAGCAGTTCAATCAAGGCTTCTAACACTTGACAGCAAGTCTATGTCCAAACATGAGAATGTATGTGCTCTCTGTCAAAATCATCCGGAATCGCACCAACACCTCTTCTTCGCATACAGTTTCACATCCCCAATTTGGCGCTTTATCAAGTTCAAATGTAAGGTCAATTATGCAATTTCAAACTGGGAGGACCTGATTCTCTCTATAAGCACTCAATGGAGGAAGAAATCAGCTATGAACCTGGTGCACAAAGTTTGTTTCTCTCCATGATCTACCACACTTGGGAGGAAAGAAATGAACGGATATTCAAGAAGAAAAAATCAACACAGAGAGCTGTTCTGGCAAGGATTACCTCCACAATCACAGGCCTCCTAAAATTGGATTTTTTAGAAGATAGCATTTCTTCAAGGCGTATCCTTATGGACTGGAACTTGTCGCCGTCTCATTGTTGACCTCCTCCTCGACCGCCGGATTACTTTCAGTAAAGGCTGATGATAATCTCGTCACCTCTGGTTAGGGCCACTCACCGGAACGCGAGCTAACAACCACATTTAACGACTATTTAGCCGTTAATTATGGTCATTAGCTTCTCCTTATTGTTTAGGTTTTCTTGCATGGACCGTTTTTGGGCCTTGTTTTTCTTTTTGGGCTGTTGCTGGCCAAATGGCCTGCCTTTGTAATCTTTATCTTATTAATATAATTTGCTCTATTCTCCAAAAAAAAAATTCAAAAAAAAAAATACCCTCAATCATATATTTGTTTGTGTATGCAATTATTGTTCATTCTATTAAAGGAATAAAATTTTGAGGGAAAGACACATTCGTGTATATTTTGTTTTATGTATCAAATAAATTTCAATTTGAGAGAGTAACAAACATCTAATATTTATATGATAAACAAACATCCATTCAATTAGGAAGATAAAGACGGATAAATAATTATTCAAAATTCAAACCCTAGAATCCGCAGATGAAGCAAATATACAATACTAACATAATCACATGAATCAATTCGTTTTCGTCGTTCAATCTCGTATCTCTCTATCTCTCTCTCAAACTATTGCTTTCTCTCACTGAAGATTAGTTAATTATTGCTATTCAATGTTCAGTTATATATATATATATATATATATATATATATATATATATTGATGAGCATGTTGGTGGAGAAGACGATCCAGAGGGGCTCCGTCTGGATCACAGCGTGCCGGAGGGTCCCTGGAGTTGGGTTCGCCGCATCGCGGTCGGAGGAGTTGGTGACAATGTAGATCCAGCCACCCTTGCTGTCGAGCACGCAATTCTGAACCCTATGGCGCAGTTGGCAAGGCTTTACTGGTTCAGTTTGGGTCCCATTTCTAGCAGTTGTCGATGGGTTTACGGTGAAGCCATATCCAATTCATCATCGTTGAAGACCGCATAGTATTTGATGTGTGTGTATATATATATTGGATATAAAATTTGTAATTATTACATAAATATGATGCTTATCAGATCAGATCATACGATAATTCAAGGTTTCATTAACAAATAGATTCAATGTCTCTATATGTATAGAAAAATAACACTGTGTAATAATTATCACAGAAATATATATATATATATATATATATATATATACATATTAAAAAATGCAGTTTGGGCATTATCATAATTTTAATAGGCGCGTGACTTTACACACGCCGAAAAAATTGATCCGGTGACTTTCAGGGGGTATTTGCACATTTTGGTACTTCAGTGGAGGATTTGCAACAAAATGGATAGTTTGGGTTTTTTTTTGCACTTTTGCCTATTTAATATTAGGGAATTAACAAAATTTTAATTTAAGTGTAATATAATAAAATTAGTAATAAAAGTGTTTTAAGCAATATTATTGCCAAACAAATTTAATAAGCGTTTGAAATATAAAAAATGCTTTATATAATCAAAAACATTATTACGTTTTATTGACAGCAAATTTGTAAGAGCTTTGTTAATAAAATTGCTTTCAACACTTTATTTAAATAAATAAATTAGTCTTAAATAAATAAATGATCTTTAAAGCCGACCACTTATAGCTCAGTGGTAGAGAGTCAGTCTTATAAATTGAAGGTCTGTAGGTCGATCCTGCGTAGGGGCATTTCCAATCCTAAATTTATTATTTTTATTTTTATCAATAATATTTGTATAAGCAATCGTAAGTTCATAACCGTTGTTAGGTGCAAATGCAACTTACGTGGATTCAACTTTGTGGCACCCAAACATTTTCCTTGTCTCGCTCAAGCATACGTTATAATTATGTGGCAACTTTACTTTGTGGCACCAAAACATTTTCATTGTCTCGCTCGCGCATAGATTATAATCATAAATTATATGCTTTATTTTTCTTTGCGCTCCATTAATGTCATCAAGTATTCCACTTTTTATTTTATTTTAAATAAATAATAAAGTATAATAATATCCTTGAGAGATAATAATGTACAAATTGATTTATTTTTGAATGATAAACATTCCTCATATTCGATAAAGTTAACAAAGACATCTTAAATGACTTACTTTATATTCGTCATATTTAATAAAGTTAACGAGACATGTGACATGGTAAAGTACAATGACATCCTTCAAAGTTTGACACAAGAACTATATACTTAATTCTTATATATTTTAATACCAGAATTGTCCTTCTCTAAATCTGAATTCCAATTCACTCTTCTCTCAAATTAGTTTTAAAATTAAAAGTATGAACATTGCAAGCCAGAATTTATAGGGAATAACATTGATCTCCTTGCTCTACAGATGAAGAATAACAATTTATATAGATAGAGTTATATATATGGCACTTCAAAATTCATAAGAGACATTAATCCATACTCTATATTATATATTATATACTCCTTAAAAGTTTTAATTTTTTTTTTTTTTTTTTGGCTTGCTTATTGAGCTATACTACTTAATTTCCATTTATGTAAAACTAAATTTTTCTTTAATTTTCAATTCAATTGGAGATACCTTCTGAAAAAAGGAAAAAAAAAAAATCAATTAAAAATTACTGTTTAATGTAGAGATTGATTTGCTTTCAACTTAAGGTTAGTTTCTATTTAAGTAAAACTAAACTCTCCTTATACTTTAAATTCAATCAAATATCAACCAAAGATTACTGTTATCGTATATTTGTTTACTTCTAATTTAATATGTTCCCTAACGAACTAGAGGTAAAATTCAGAAATACAAAGTTTGACTCAAATACTTCGTTTTTTTTCAAATCGCCCACCTTTTTATTCTAATCACGTAAAAATAGTAAACTACCTGTATTATCTAACTACTTACTTTTACCGATTAAAGAAAATGACAATATAAGAACAAAGTATTTAATGAGGAAGAATGGAGCGCGTGAGTGTATTGGTGTAGCTCCAATATCAGCTCTCTTTCCTTTAATACCAAGATTATAATATATGCTTTATTTTCCTTTAATACTACAAACACCAACTGTGCGATCCATCATTTTTTCCTCTCTAGCTCTGTCAGGCTATATAATTGTACACACAATCTTCAATAATCTCCTCATTCCTACAACCACTTGAATACCAAAAAGCAATTAAGCCGGCCACCATGTCTGTGTACGGCATCACCTCTGTACTCTTCGTCACTCTCCTTCTCTCATCCCATTCCTTCTGCACTGCTTTTGAATCTGAAGTGGGTATGATCTCTTTCCCTCTTCACATTTATACACTTATGAATACACACATATATAATATAGTTATATACATATAAATTGTACTAATGTATATGTTTATATTTGATATATTGCTCCCTCTGTCTACGATGATGTTGTTAATAGGTTTTTTGCGTGGTGGTATTGCTATTTATAATAAATATATATATATATATATATATATATTGGCGTTGTTAATGTGATTTTTGTTTTATTTCATGTTCACAGGTTTTGATCTCATTTCAATTTAGCTTCTCGGGATTTATCTGTTTTTATGCATCTGTTTTCTCAATTATGAAATCCATGGTTTGATCATGTATTACATTTTGATAAATAAATTTTCTTCGTTCATTGATGGATTAATTGTTGGAAACCCACCAAATCACAATTGCAGTGTTGTCCAGAAAAATCTGAAACATTAACGGCTCTTTCTGGTACAAAATACGATCAAGGTCAAAAAAATTCTGAAACATTAATGGCTCTTTCTGGTACACAATGCAGTCAACAATTAACTTTACCTAACTATTTGACTAAAAGAAAAATGGAATCTTTTCACGAGGTTCAAATTTTAATTTTTAAAAATTGTTGCTTTGATTTTGACCCCATTTTGAGCAAGGCCCACTAATTATTGACGAGACCATGAATTAGGTTATCCTGAAAACCTAGGTATTAGTGCTGATGTATGTACACGCATGCATGCTAACACAATATATTTTACTAACACAATATATTAGTGCTGATGTATGTACACGCATGTAGATTCAAATACATTTGTCCTTGGCTTGGCTTTACCAATATCATTGTTCTTCTTTGTCTGTTGATTACTTCTATTGATTAAGGAAAAAATGATAGTAATATTTTTTTAATGGTTCTTCCTCTCCTCCAAAGTAGTTGGTCAAAGTCCCCAAAGTTAGACCTAAAACACTAATAGAAGGATTATCTACCTATAGATATGTTTCAAGCACAATAAGTGGTCTGAACCTTGTTTGCCATTGCCGGGAAAAAGTGCCATAAAGTGACCATGACCATACTATGCTATGTTCTTACCTTTATATGCTATCTTCCTTGTGATCAAAATAAAGAATGGAATAGCTTTATTAGTTTAACTTGTACTGATTATTTAATTCACTTCTTAGTTTCAAATTTTGAATCATATCTCAACCATGATTTATCTGTACTTTTTCACCTAAGTATTCTTAGTAAGAAAGAAAAGAAGAGATTCTATGAATTCTTTACTATAAGAAATAACTTATAGTAAGTTGTTATTTGCCTTTAAACATATCATATTTGAATACCTTTTCACCTATGATCAACTTTGTGCCTTTCTTTCTTTATTCTTCTTCTTTATTCTGGAGGAATAAAGAAGAAAGAAAATAAGAGATTCTCTGATAACTATTCAATAAGAGATTCTCTGATAACTATTCTTCTTCGATCTGTTGTCATAACTATTCAACTTTCTTTTTGTTTGATAACAAATGTAACAGATGATGAGATTCCATTTACCTATGTGGAGGGAACTGGCAAAGGACCAGGGGAATGGAGCCAAATTGATCCACATTGGCAAGTTTGTGACAATGGAGCCATGCAGTCTCCCATCGATCTTCTTGACCAAAGAGTTAAAGTTTTTCCTAATCTGGGGAAATTAAAAAGGGACTACAAACCAGCTGAAGCAACATTTAAGAATAGGGGACATGATATTACGGTAAACTACATTATGCCTTCAGTTATTCTTTCATTTCTTATACATTTAAATACTTATCAACTGATTTAGATTTGGGAATTCTATATGCATTTGTACTTGGTTATAATTTGATGAGAGTGTACATGATTATTTGATAGTTTAATTGCTACGTAAAAAAGTATACCCCAAAATGCTTGATGTAAATGTGTTGTTCTCTTTGATTTCTTCTTGTTAATTACATGACTTTGGTGTTCCACCAGGTGGCATGGAAAGGAGATGCAGGAAAAATAATCATAAATGGGACCGACTACAAACTAGTACAGTGTCATTGGCATTCTCCTTCTGAGCACACCTTCAATGGAACAAGGTTTTGTTTGTCCTTTTTTAATTTTTCCAAAAAGACTTTTTTTTTTTTTTTGGTTTAGTGGTGTATTTATCTTCCCTTCAGTTATCTTCTTTTTGGTACTAGCATCTGAGATCCATGCAATGTTTGTTTACAGGTACAATTTGGAGCAGCATATCGTTCATTTAAGTTCTAATGGAGGGATAGCTGTTGTTGGAATTACATACAAATATGGCAGGCCTGATCCTTTCCTTGCTAAGGTGATGATTTTGTGTCTCTTGCTTTCTTTGCTTTGCTTCGCTTCCTAGATGTATGCAGGCTTTCATAATATATACATGCTAATAATTTGTAGTACATACGTACTATTGAAGGGCACTTTTGCTAATTTTCCAAAAATGCAAATAAAATAATAAATAGCCTATAAATACCTTTTCCCTGATTTTATATTTGAATAAGTTAAATCTTATTGCATATCATGATGCAGTATGCTGTGACAGCTCATTAAGAAACCAAAAATGTTCCAAGCTTGTAATTTTCCAGCCTCAAATATGCATCTCTAACGGAGAAATTGAGTTAGAAGTTGTTCTTGTCAACTTGTCATTAATCACATAAATTTCATTCCTAGATTCTCTTTATACTTCTTTTACATCTCTCTATCTGTCTGACTCTTTTTTTTTTTTTTTTTCAAATTTACAAAGATGGAGAAGTTTACATAGCTTCATTTGTTAGAAGCTTATGCACTAAGATAATCATAGACTTATGAGTTGATCACTAAATTACTTTCAAACTTTAAATAATAATTTATATTAATAATTTTCAAATTTTCCTTTCATACAGCTGTTACAGCACATTCATAATTCAGTTCATAAAGAAGAGATAGAATTGGGGATTGTTAACCCAGGAGATATCAAGTTCGGAAGCAGAAAGTACTTCAGATATATCGGCTCTCTGACAGTTCCTCCGTGCACAGAGGGTGTTATTTGGACAATAATCAAGAAGGTTTTAGTCTTTAACCCCTTATTAATTGGTGAACGAATTTTTACAGCCTGCTAATGTACCATTTTGCATTTGTAGGTGAGGACAGTCTCAAGGGAGCAAGTCAGAGCACTAAGGAAAGCTGTTGATGATGTAAGTTGAAATGGTTCACTTTGGATAGTTTGTCCAGGAAAATTGGAAAAATAAAAACCAATAACAAGACATCAGGTTTACCCATAATTTTGGAGCATTTAATTTTTCTTTTTGGTAAAAATATTTTTAGCCAAACTTTACATTTGTTTTTACTTTGTTTGAAGCTTCTGACTGATCTCTTTTCTTTTTTAAAATATCATTTCTATAAAATTAGAACTTTGAATTTCAAGTTGGCTTGTCAAATAACTACAATGTCGACGACCTTTGACAATATGTACATCCTCGATCTTATTATGGTGCTTATAAAATCCATCCCTTGCAAGTGATGTTCAAAATATGATAGGCTTCAAGCATTTGTTAAGTTAGAAAGATCACTTGGTCATCCGATGACGTTTTAACGACTACCTTTGACAATTGAAAGTGCCTTTTAAGTTGTGTTAATGTGGCCAGCCAAGTGTTTTTAATTATTCTTCTACTTGTAGAAATATTTTCTTCCCTACTAATTGTTCCAATATCCACATGTCCACGTCTGATTGGTGATTTTACTTAAATTGATCATTTATGTGAGTGATAAGGCGTAGCTCTTTTCCTCATAACAAAGACATCCGAGTCTGCCATAAGATCGATATCCATTGCTTTGTATCACACAATGGTTTGGCTATCCATTAAATGTTAAGGGTTTCAATTTGAAGTTGATCATTGTGCTCATGCATGCAGTCAGTTGGTGGGATGTGGTCAGTTGTTGGGCTGTAGTTTTTGCATTTATGCGTTTTGTGTGTTTGATTCCAATTTTAAATGCCGCGAATAAGAACCTTCTTGGACATTCTAAATCCTAATGTCCACTTATTCTCACCAATAAAATTCTATAACTTGAATGGATTTGTATTAATTAATACAATTAGACAGAACATAATAAAGGTATTGATGTGCACAGCATATATTATTACTTCATTGCAAGTTGTCGAATAAATTTTGACTAATTTGTTGGTTTTTCCTTTTATCAGGGATTCGAGTGGAATGCAAGGCCAATTCAACCATTGGATGGAAGACCAGTTTTGTTATATCAACCAACGGTCACTGGAGGTTCCACTTAGATTTATGAAATATTTGAAGGGATGAGAAAAGCAATCAACATATAATATTATGTCTTATAACTAGTAGTTTGGATGTCCTTTAGTTTGCTCCTATGTTCTCTGAATACTTTTTCAGAGTTGGGATGTCCTTTAGTTTGCTTCTATGTTCTGTGAATGCAATGCTTGTGAAATGTGCTTGCCTGCTGAACAGATTATCAAGGATTTTGTCCGTTTAACATATAATAAATGTTTTTAATTTTGATTAGTTGTACACTGTATATGTGATTTTAATATGAATTTAGACTTAAAAAATAAATAACAATACTTGCCTACTCACCAGGTAGGTGGCACAATAAAATTATGACAAGTGTCCTAAAATTTATAAAATATAAATATAACAAAAATAAATTAGAATTGGTTTGACCCATTTTTAATTGGATTAATAGCATATTTTACCTCGATATACATCCTTGACCACTCTCCCTATAAATATCATGACCACTATCCCTATAAATATCAAAATATATGTCTGGGCATTATAAAAAAAAAAATTAAATTGAGATATAGCAATAGTGTGTTAGGGGTTGGTTTTGCTCACTACCTTCTCAGAGTGGAAAATATGTGATTGATATAAAGAACCATTGCTAAAATCATAAAATGCTTCCGGTTTTTGCTTTAAAAAAAAATAAAAAAATTTACCCTTCTTTTGTCCAATTTAGGATTGTTGCAACGAGAATAAGGATTACTTTGGAAGTAAAGGTGAATGGGTATTTTAATAGCATCATTTTTGTTTGTTTATATATGTATATGTATTTATATTTGTTCAGCTATAGTGGAACCCAAATTTTGATTTTTCGATTCCTAGAAACAAAAACAATGTATTGTTTTAGGAAGAGAGAAACGTGCTGTTAACCTGATAAAAATTAATATAGATCTCAAATTTTGGCAATGCACATAATTTGCATAAAATTTAAAAGTTAATTTTGTGCATATCCATGTACAAGTGTGTATAGATATATATGGAGAGAAAGATGCAGTTAACCGATTAAAATAGATAAAATTTGAAACAAAGAACTATAAATGTAATGATAATGATACATAGATATTTATTCTCAACCAAAAGAAAAAGAAGACAATAAATAAGCAATAACAATCTATCCTACAATCAACAAATCATCAATTTTATATAATTTGGTGTACTTTAGATAAAAATAATTGATAAGTATATATAAGAATTACACATTAAACCATGAAAGATAAAAGTCAAAACTTCCGGTATTAGCATATTAGGGTTTTAGCAATTAGCATAATAGTTTGAGAGAGAGAAAGGGAGGGAGAGAGAGAGTTAAATTGGGATTTGATCTGCATCATTTTGGGTTGACCTTTTTTTTAATTTTTATTATTTTCTATTTTATGGACACTTGTCACATTACTTTTGCGCCACATCATGGGTAAACATGAACTTCCTACTCACCGGTGAGTAGGCAAATTTTGGCAATGCACAGAATTTGCAGTAAAATATTTTGTCATACAATAAAAACATTGCTAATAAATATTTTCTTAACTATTTGGTGTGTTTGCTGCATTATTTTTTTTATTTATTTTTGGGTCCCTGAAATATGTTTGAAATTGCAAATGACCTCTAAACTATGTTTTGTGCATAATACCCCATAATGCCCTTGTTTATTGAATTACATTTAATCTATTTTTCTTATTGAAAAAAATTATGAAAAAAATCATACTAATTTGATGACATATTCTCTATTAAATTTGTATAAATTTACCTTTAATTTTTTAATTAATTGTTTAAATAAAAATATTTAGTATAATTTTTTTTTAAAATTTAATTAATTTTTTAATTTTTTGTGAATATATTACATGAAAAATAAGGTATTTTTTTTTATTTATGCAATTTATTAATTTTTCAACAATATGTTTTATGAAAAGTATATATTTTTCTAGGAGAAAACCAGTTCAGTGAGGTAACAATAAAGGAAAGGAACTTCAGAACCATAAAGCTAATAATTGTCAATTAGAAGATGCAGGAAGAGCTCAGTATAGGACCACTAGGTTATCTATCTAAACTTGATTGCATCTTAATTGCAACTTCCAAACAGCCCATAAGCCAATAATGGTTTAGTGGTTCAAACCTATCCATCTTGCCCAGTTGATTGAGGTGATCTTTGAGATATGTGATGGCGGGAAAATCCTTTATCAACACCATATGTATTGAATTGGGTGACCTGTTCCTATGTCAACACATTACTTCAATCTTTAAGTAGTTGTAGGTACAAGGGCTCCTCATTCTATCAATAATTTAAGTGGGACTGTTTCATTATTCATTCGCACTCTTCCAAATGACCTCCATTATCATGTAATTTATAGAGTAATCAAACGTGCAAAAGTGGTTAAAATTTTAGAGAAAATTCGAGTTTTAAATAATAAAAAAAAACTAACCTATTGCTTTTTTTTAACACCTCTAAACTAAAAACTGTAAATGAACTAATGATTTGTTACAATTAAAGACAAATCTATATTAAGGGCCTTGTAACCCAGTAATATCTCTTCTACCTCCGATTAAAATTATCATGTAATTTATAATTTTAAACGGAGTAGCAGAAGTGGGATAGAGCAATCAAACGTGTAAAAGTGGTTGAAATTTTGGAGAAAATACGAGTTTCAAGTAAAAAAAAAAAAAAAACCAAAGCTTTATTATTATTATTTTTGGTAAATAACACCTCTAAACTACAAATCATATCAAGGGCCTTGTAACCCAGTGATATCTCTTTTACCTCTCAAAGTGAATGGTGATAATTTGAGTCTCTAAATAAGCAAAGTAGGTACGTGAAAGAGACTATTTTGCTCTTTTTCATTAAAATTTTCATCTCTTATTAAATTTATCAAATATTAATTGTTCCAATTACCTTATTTTATCAGTATTAGTTTATCATAAAAATGGAGAAATTTTTTTTAGTTGTAACTACCATTTTCTAAAATGATTAATGTATTAATAAAACTATATTATTTATAATAAAATTTATTATGCTTAGTTTAAACTTTTCTACTATTAAAAAATATTTTTCATATAATATATTCTTGAAAAAATAATAAATGCTTAAATAAAAAATAACTTATTTTTTAATGCAATATATTCATAAAAAATTAAGAAATTACTTGAATTGTTTTACAGATTTATACTTAAGATTTTTCTTTAAACAATTAATTTCAATAATTAAAGATAAGTTTATTCAAGTTTAATGGAGAATGTGTCATGAAATTAGTATGAATTATTTTCACAATTTCTTTTAATAAGAAAAATGGATAAAGTGTAATTTGATATAAAAAGGGCATTATGGTCATTTAATTAAATAGCCCAAGGATGGAGTATTTTGTAACAAAATGTGATAGTTCAGGGGTATTGTGTATAATATTTACTTCAAGGGGGTTATTTACAAATTCAGACATAGTTTAGGGATTTTTTTACACTTTATTTTAATTTTTATGATGTAATATAAACTGAAATAAGTTTTTAGCAGAAATAATGTGCCAGTGATAACATTTGTAATTTTGATGAAAACAAATTTATGTAGAAGTTGGTAACATCAATATTATCCTCTGTAGTTTTTTTAATAATAAATTATCAAGTTCGCACCAAAAAAGAAAAAAGAAAAAAAAGGTGAATAACAACTGCATCTTAGCATATCCAATGTCTAATTTATGGTGTATTTGGTCTTTACACTGTTTGGCAGATGGAGAAGGAGACGAAATAGAATGAAATTAAGCTTCCTTCTCAGCACATTATTCATGGGAATAACAATAACACCCATTACTTGTAATAATAAATCAAACAACACGATATAGGCGCCTTTCTTTGTTTTTTATTTTATTACTTATGAATTTTCAAGTATACATCTTTACATTTTCACTTTTTATTCCTTTTGTTCTCAGTCGTACTTCTTTTACTTAAATGGAACAAAGTTACTTGATGTCCTTATTTAATTTAATTTTTGTTCCGATAGAATGTAGAAATAACTTAAGATGGGCAAAAATTAAAAAAATTTTATATTTTTGTTACGGGGAATTGGATATTTTTCAATAAATTTTGTTATCGTACTTTAGTGCACATCAAAATGAACGCTAGGGAAAGACATAACCAAAGGTTTTGGGCTAGAAAACACAGATATGGACACGAGACACATAGTCGACCTTGAGATTCCAAATTTTTTTAGAGGTCATAGGCGAACTTTCAAATGCGAAGCTCTTTATAAAGTTTCACAAGCGCAAAAATATTATAAAAGTGCAAAATTTTCATTAAAATGAGACGATAAATACAAATAATGTTGAAAATACACCAAATAAAACCCGGTTTTGATACTTTATGAAGAGCATGATTCGATTTATCAAAGCAAATGTAATCCTCATGCATCTTAAGTTGCAAATTTATTAATTAAAGTGCTTATGCATCTTAAGTTGCAAATTTATGTGCTTCAATCAAGTTTCTCTAATATATCCTTTTCAATAGTCAATAATTTTCTATATGCAACTCAACCTCCATTAAGCCCGATCCAAATAACCAAATTTTAAATTCATGTGTGCAATCAACTGTCACACAAAGAGAAACTTGATAAAATTGAAGTCAGTAAAGAAATTTAGATTATTGCGTATATCAGATTAAAATGACTAGCCTTATTATTAGGAAGGTAATATTCACACTACATTTTTCAACGTTTGCACTAAAATCTTAAATGAAATGACAATTTTAACCATAACTTTATAAATAAATAATAATAATTTTTTAAATGACACAACTGCCCTTTCAGTTATTCTCTCGTTATCGTCTTTAATTTTTTAGGCGCCTTTTGACAAGAATTTTTTTAAAAAAAATTGAATAAATTTTTTTTACGCGACAAAATTATTATTATTTGAATAAATTGTCTCTTTTGACAAGACAAAAAAAAATTAAAAAGTAATAATTACAAATTATCTCTTTTGGCATGAAAAAACCCCAATATATATAGAAATAATTTCTTTTGTCAAGATCCAAAAAATAAATAAATATTTTTAAGATACAGAGACTTACTTTCCATTTGGAATTGCAAAAAAAATAACTCAGAGGGGTCTGCGGAGCTTTGCATGCACGAGTCAAAAGATAATATAATAATAAAATAAATCAATTTTTGAGTTTAAATATAAAAAATATATTTTTCTTTTGAAGGGGGAACAAGAACAAATTATTATTACCATACTGTATAACATATATAAATTGATTAAGTACGTGTGTTTATTGTCATATATATATATATATATATATATATATATATATATATTAAAAGTTATTTATTGTCATAAATTTATATGATATATAAGTATGTATTGTCTTTTAATTATGAAAATTATGGCTTAAATGTTAGACATATACCACTATATTTGCACCATAATCCTAAATTTGAGGCCTTAGGTGACCGCCTTAGAGCCCGTCTGAGATTACTTATCTATTGCTTAAAAACGTTTTTATTTTGAGAAAATGCGTTTAGATATATTTGGTAACACTCATATTTGACACAGACACCTTATATACATATATATTGCCATTTTATCGATATAATCATGAATAAAATCACTAATTTAGAATTCCGAACTATATGTTTGATATCTTTTTAAAAAATATATATTTAATTTTCTATTTAACCTACTATATATTTTAAATTGCATTTAATTATATTCTTCCAAAAATTTTAATTACAAAATGACTCATGGTATTCTGAAAGCGTCCAAACATATCCTTATCGTGTTGATATTGTATCCCAGCAATGTCCAACAAAAAAATAAAATATTCAAGTTTTAGTATACTTAGTAACTGTATCCGACACACATTCAAGTATTCAACAAGTGTCTAAAGTTATATGATACCATCACGAAACTCTAAAAAAATGTATTCGTGCTTCTTAGACTTTTTATTTTTTGATGCATAAAATGAAAAGTAAGTTATAAGAGCTCCCTTACCAAAAAATAAATAAAAATCACCATATTTAATCATTTAATATATCTCAATTTATTGATTAAAATCGAGGGTGCTCTCTGAGTATTTCAATTTTGAAAATGCAATACTGTATAACTTTGAGAATAATGTACAAATTTGAAGCATGAACATTGCATTGTTTTGACACACAGAGCAAAAGTACCTACAAGAGGGGATACACTGCTGAATTTGCAATATGAGAAATAATAGAATACCACCTTGTCTTATAAAAAATAGATGTTCTTCGCAAATGGAGGGCTGTGATTAGATCAAAAAACCAGTCGAACCCCTGATCTAACCAATCATCAATGACCCAAGAATCATTGGACGTTCCAGAATTGCCGTTCCAAATTAATCAGCCAGCCATCATCCGTATCTTAGCATCCCTCAAACTTTCTCTTGCAAAACATACTGATACAGAAAGAGAGAGAGCTCTTGAATAAAAAGGACACTGTAGCGCACGTTAACTAACATCACCCCTCCGGCGCACGTTAGCACGGTCTAAAAAATGCTTTCACCTGTGTCTACGATTCTTCCTCTCTCTAACTCCACGCCTCCCTTATCCTGCGCGGCAGCCCCACCTCGCTTGCCCTTGCGCTTTCGCTCTCCTCTAGGGTTAGGGTTATCTCTCTCTCCTCACAGAGACCATATATTTTTTATTCTCCAATGCTCTTCAAAGACCTCGAGTTTCAGTCTTTAGGGTTCTTCTCTTCACTTTGTCTTCGAAGCATAGGCTATGGACGGGAAGCGCCACTCGAAGGACTCGTTTTCGTACTCGAATTTGTTCAATCTTGAGGTATGCCATATGGGTTTTTGATTTTCTCAATTGGGTTTTTCTGTTTTCTTCAATTAATGACTATCATTGTTTTTAGCGTGAATTAATTTTGTAAAAATTAAGTTTTTTTCCCCTCATTTTGTGCATGCGTGTGTTTGCTTTGGTGATTTATTTGATTTGGTTATGTTGATTTTTTTTTGAATTCAACGTGTTTTGCGATATCCCTTTTAATTTTGGAATGAATTGTGGTTGTTTATTTTCTGGTTTGTATTGTAGTCTTTGATGAACTTTCAACTACCACTTCAAGATGATGATTTTGATTATTATGGGAATAGTAGTCAGGATGAGAGCAGAGGTAGCCGAGGTAGGCATGTTGTTCCTCAAGTGTTTTTCATTGTTTTGAGTTGAAATCACAACGACCAATTTGCATTCAATGCTTGAAAATCGAACTTTATTCTCTATAAAATTTATACCTACTTTTTTTAGTATGTTTAATGTTAGTTGTTTCAGTGAAGGTAAATACTTGGGCTAGTGAAGTGAACTTATGTATATTGATCTATATAGGTGGAGCAATGGCAGACCGTAGTAATGGGATTGTGTCTGAGAGGGAATTGAGCTTTGCAAAAAAGAAGAAGAAGAAGCGGAGCACATACAGTAGCGACGAAGACGAGGACGTCAGTTACAATACACGTATTTCAGAGGAGAGATATCGAGCAATGCTTGGAGAACATATACAGAAGTACAAGAGGAGGCTCAATAGCTCCTCGTCTACTCCAGCTTCAACCCGGATAGGGATGCCGGCTCAGAAGAGCAATTTAGGATCCAAAGTTCGGAAATTGGGTAATGAGCACAGAGGAGGACTACATGAAATAGAAACCACATCGGATTTTCTCACTGATATTAGTCCTCAGAGAATGGCTAACAATTGTGATGCAGATTTTGCTCCAGAATATGGCGCTGATAGGTTTGTTTCCTTCTATAAACTTTAAAATTGTGAGTTCTGAAATATATGAAATACCTTTATCCAATGAAATGGGGCCAAGCCATTGTTTGGTGCAATGGTAAAAGTTTTGACAATCGTGGACATAGGTTCAAGTCTGAGAGCAACCACTTTGTGCAAAATAATGCCAAAGGTTCGGTTTGTCTCCAGTCTTTCCTTCCTAGCATCCTGCATACATAGGACCAGAATCCGATAATTGCCTTTAATTATATCCATTGAACAGTTGGATTTTAAATGGAAATCTTTTTACTAATTTTGAAAAAACTGCAGATCAAATTATGAAACATCTTGTTTGGATATTGGGGATGGCATTACTTATAGGATCCCTCCGACTTATGAAAAGCTGGCGGCATCACTGAACTTGCCGAGCATGTCAGATATCCGGGTGGAGGAATTCTATTTAAAGGGCACCCTTGATCTGGGTTCATTGGCTGCAATGATGGCGACTGATAAAAGGTTTGGGCCCAGAAACCGAGCATGGATGGGTGATCCAAAGCCCCAGTATGAATCACTTCAGGCGAGATTGAAGGCCCTGTCAGCTAGTAACTCGGTCCCGAAGTTTAATCTGAAAGTCAGTGATATTGGATTAGACTCATACTCCATTCCAGAGGGGGCAGCAGGAGGGATTCGGCGGTATATATTGTCCGAGGGTGGTGTATTGCAGGTTTACTATGTGAAGGTGTTGGAGAAAGGAGACACATATGAGGTCAGTATTCCCATTGAGTTAAAAATGGTTTATCAAATTTACTTCTTTTATGTTTGGGGAGCAGAATTGGGTTTCTGTTTCTTGTAGTGATTTGGATTTGTTGGGCTACAGATCATTGAACGAAGTCTACCCAAGAGGCAAAAGGTGAAGAAAGATCCTTCTATGATTGAGAAGGAGGAAAAGGAGAAGATTACAAAATATTGGGTAAACATTGTAAGAAAAGAATTACCACGACACCACAGGATTTTTACTAATTTCCACAGAAAGCAACTAACTGATGCCAAGAGGTTCTCTGAAACCTGCCAAAGAGAGGTACCTATAATTTTATTGGGTCTTGTTAGCCTTGTTTTATTTTTTATGGTTGCACCTGCCGCGCTTGGATGTGCTCAGAGCCTTGGGTCTGGTAGTCAGTCCTGCATGCTTCTTGTTTGGCATATCTAGTTCCACATACTTATATCTTATATCTAGCTTTTCATATATTGTATTTTCTTCTCCAACATTCAGTGATGACTTTTTTCTTTCCAGGTGAAAATGAAGGTGAGTAGATCACTTAAATTGATGAGGGGTGCTGCAATCCGCACAAGGAAACTGGCAAGAGACATGGTGGTATTCTGGAAGAGAGTTGATAAGGAGATGGTATTTTTCTTTTCCTCACTGTAATCATTAAAGGGCATTGCAAAGTACGATCTTTTGAATGAGCAAATTTATTTGTTGTGATCCAAGTAAAGGCCGATGATGAGGATCTTTTTTTGGTTTTTTTCCCAATAATTAAGATTCTCTTTTGTTTCATAATTCTATGTGTAGGGAGCTTACAAAGAATTATATCAGTTATCTGTTAGGCATACGCTAAAACATATTTGGTTCATATGATCGCCCTTAGTTCTGTGATCATTAGTGGAATTTGGATACTATGTCCCTGATACTCAAGAAGAAATATCATACGTGCTATAAACTTCTGATCAAATTATTTTAATAAAGTGCCTTTGATTGCCTATTCTATTGGCATATTTAGGTATCTTAACAGCTAATTGAGCCTAACGAAACTAAAGGACGAAGGGTACCATATAACTTTCAAAGGAAACTCTTTTCTATTGGTGTGCAGATATATTATCTACAGATCTCACAATAATAGTTCCTATTTTTTGTAGTTCAAAAATATAGTGAAAGGTATGAAGGGGTGCAACCCATGTTACACTAATAATATATGAAAATGAACGTAACTTATAGTTATTTATTACTGAAGAGAGCTATATGAATAGACAAATTTGAAGCCTTCTGAATATTTTCCAAAATACTTTCACCAAAACCATCGCACAAGTAATCCCTCTTTTTGCAGGCAGAAGTGCGGAAAAGAGAGGAAAGGGAAGTTGCAGAAGCTTTGAAGCGTGAACAGGAGCTTCGTGAAGCGAAGAGGCAACAACAGAGGCTTAATTTCCTGTTGTCACAAACGGAACTCTACAGTCACTTCATGCAGAATAAGTCAACTTCACAACCTTCTGAAACTTTGCTTGTGGGTGATGATAAGTTGACTGATCAAGAAGTGCTTCCGAGTTCTTCAGAAGCTAGGCCTGGAGAGGAAGAAGATCCTGAGGAGACCGAATTGAAAATGGAGGCTCTGAAAGCCGCTCAAGATGCTGTTTCCAAGCAGAAAAAGATAACTAGTGCATTTGATGATGCATGTTTAAAGCTGCGTAAAAATTCTGAACCTGATGACCTCCAGCAAGATACATCAATTTCAGGGTCTAGTAACATAGATTTATTGCACCCGTAAGTTCTTTACTTACTTCTGCTTCGTACAGAAATATTAAGGTAGTGGAGGCATTTTATTTTTTAGCCTGTTAGTAAATTGAAACCTTTCTTTGCAATGTTTCAGTTCGACCATGCCTGTAACATCATCAGTGCAGACACCAGAACTGTTTAAAGGTTCCCTCAAAGAGTATCAGCTAAAAGGCCTTCAGTGGCTGGTGAATTGTTATGAGCAGGTAATAAACCAGTCTGCAGTGGAGCTATTTTCTCTTTAATAGATGCTTTAGTAGGTTTCTACTATGGATTTAGTTTAAGAAGGTTTGATGTTCTCAGGGTTTAAATGGTATTCTTGCTGATGAGATGGGCCTGGGAAAGACTATCCAGGCCATGGCATTTTTGGCTCATTTAGCTGAGGTAAGCTATATACTTGGTGTGTGCTATATGGAGAGTTTGTAATAGTAATTTGGATTGAATGTGCCATGCAGGAAAAGAACATATGGGGACCTTTTTTGGTTGTTGCACCTGCTTCTGTCTTGAATAACTGGGCCGATGAAATTAGTCGTTTCTGCCCTGACTTGAAAACTCTTCCATATTGGGGTGGGCTTCAAGAACGGACGATACTTAGGAAAAACATCTATCCAACGCGTCTTTATCGTAGGTGATTATCTTCTAGCATGAGTTATTTTTCTTTCATTTCTTGAAGAGAAATAAATGATATATCTGTTAGTCTTCTCATTGCATTTTACCATTTTTTACATCCTAATGGGTTATAATTAATGTTATCTGGTGCCATGTTCTCATTTCAATAGATTCTTTTTATTAGATGTGATGATCATGGACATGGGTACAATCATGGACATGGTTATCGCTTAGGGGTGGCAAATTACAACATGACTCGAACATGACATGAGATAAGCGGATTTGGGTTAACCTTAAACGGGTTTGGGTTATAAACGGGTTGACACAATTAACCCGTTTACTTAACTGTGTCGGGTTAGGGTTGAGGGGGTTCAACACGTGTAACCCGTTTATACATGTTTATCTGAACATGTCTAATCATTTATATGACATATGTAATATGTTACCTGTATAAACTCAATTACTATGGACAGTTAAGTCGTTTTAACATAAACCTTGGCTATGCCTTATGATTTTTCTTCTTATTTTGAATATTTGGGTTAATTGTGACAAATTTTTTTTAGTATTTATTATTTGATTGAATATTAAATGTCTCGTTTTGATACACAGGTCATTAAACGGGTTAACACGTAACCCGTTTAATAAATAGGTCAGATTAGTGTTGAGGGTTCCTGACACGATTATTAAATGGGTCGGGTTTGGGTTTACCTATTTAGTAGAATACCCTTACATCGACACAACACGATTATGACCCACGAACACGAATTGCCACCCCTAGTATCGCTATCTGAAAACTTGAAAGTAAAGTATAATTGTCACACTAATGGAAAATGACTGAAAAGATATTCTAGAGTAAAAGGGTAAAATTGAGATAAAACCCACTTTTAATGAATCTTGAACTTTACTGGAAGTATTACTAAATTAGAGTCCATTGGCTTAGTAAAATTTTACAGGACTTAATCGTCTTTGTGATGCAAAAGCAGTACTTATTTGTTGTTTTCCCTCTTTTTTTTAGTTTGTTTGCTTCCTGATAGATCTTCTAAGCATTTCAAAGTTGCCATGTCTCATTCTTTATTTAACAGCCAACTGTAATTTGTATTTGCCAGGGATTCTGGATTTCACATTCTCATTACCAGCTACCAGCTGTTAGTTTCCGATGAGAAGTATTTTCGGCGTGTAAAATGGCAATATATGGTATTAGATGAAGCTCAGGCAATCAAAAGTTCGAACAGGTTTGAAATTCCATCTTTTGAAGTTGCTCTCCGTGGTCCGAGTTCAATGATATCTTTATAGAATCAGGACGCTATTTGAATGTGTGTTTTGTTACTATCTCTAGTTTTTATGCTGGATTGAGTACTAACGGTTGTTGTTGAAGGCGATCTAGTGTTAGAAAAATAACAAGATGAAGAACTTTCGAAAGCCAGATATATATTTTTTCGGATAATGAAAACCAAATAGTGTTGCTCAAGAGGGGGAAAAAATACAGTAAAAAATAAAAATGATGGGTGTCCGTGTTTACTTAAACTAATTGATTTTTCTTCATGTGATACCCAACTAGCTTACTGGTGCTTGGTTTAAAAATCAGCATATATGTGTTAAATATTATGTTGAAAAATAACTGCTGTATGCTATATTTCTGAACTTTGCGGTATTAAAATTTTTATTTTCTTAACTTGAAGGTTAGAACATATATGTACTTTGTTTTTCTTATAGCATCCCATTAAATTTTGGTTTAACAGTATAAGGTGGAAGACATTGCTCAGTTTTAATTGTCGGAACCGCTTGCTTCTGACTGGGACACCTATCCAGAATAACATGGCAGAGTTGTGGGCCCTCTTACATTTCATAATGCCTACCTTATTTGATAGCCATGAACAATTCAACGAGTGGTTTTCAAAAGGGTATGTTTCTTACAGAAGATTTAATACTATCTTTTGTGCACCAAACTTATGAACTAAAATGCATCTTTCTGATCATTCTTTATCATTTATTATCAGAATTGAGAACCATGCAGAACATGGGGGGACTTTAAATGAGCACCAGCTCAACAGACTGGTGAGTAGGTTTCTAGTTCCTATAATTTCATCACGACCTTTGCTGAAGAAGTATATATATTTTTTTAAGTTGTATGAGAAGTCAGCAACAGGAATGTTTGAGATGTTCATACTCCTGAAAGAATAGGAAGAAACTCATGCTTCTCACAGATTCTAAATATTATAAGAAACATGATTTCATTTTTCTTCTGAACATAGTTTAGTACTTTTGGTTAGGTTGGAGAATGTCATTGGCTAAGGCATATTTTTGCATTTCAAGTGAGCAACATGTTTAGAAACATTATAAAGAAGTGCCCAATCCAAAGTGACCAATTTCCTTATTGAATTTTGGTTTCTATTGGATTTACTACTACCTGGTTTGTATCAATTCGTGATTTTGATTAGGGATGCCACCATATGCAGTCGTCTCTAACCACACGTTCTTAAGTTCTTGATGTAATATCTTGTCAGAATGTAATTGGAAGACCCAACTTTACCACCTTGGATGCTCAATACTTCACATTTAAATGCTTGGGTGTCCTTTTTATTTTTATTTGCCTTTCTAAATTTTGAAATTTTTAACTTCCCTAATAATTTATCTTCAAATCTTCTGTCTCCTCTTTTGGTAATGCATACCCATTCCTTCAACTGAAGTCTCTACATATCTTAACAGGTCTAATAACAGTTAATAAATTTATCGTTGCATTTCCGGGAAGATTTCAATTTGATCATCAGTGGGGAATGGTCAGATGTTTCGGAAAGGACTGGTTTTCTTAACTCAACAAGCCTTAATTCCAACTAATTAAGATCTTCTAAATGGTTTTGTCTTCTCCAACCGACTCTTTGTAAAGTGCTATTTTTGTTAATTACACACCAATTTGGTATTTTCTTATAGATGCAACCCATATTCTTTCCAACTTTATTCTTGTCCTTTGTGTGCCACTAACTTGGATCAAATCATGGTTCCTCCCGCATAGTTGGTCTACATTACATATAACAAAGCTATCTAAAAATTAATCGCCTCAACCTATCCATGTAACTTCCCATAGATAACTAATTCGTTATTCCATCTTTTATTATCAGTCATCCATTCGACCCTCATTTTGGCTTCACTTATGTTTTGAACATGTTGCCTCTTAAGCGCTCAACAATATCTATTATGAAGAATCTAAGACCTTATAGATTTGCCATAGAACTTCCCCTTGAACGTGACAAGAATTCTATGATGATGTAACAGCAGCAGCAACACTACATTTCGCCCGTCTTGCTCTTTTTATATGGGAACTTCTTCTTTGTTCTCTCACCCCTTATGAAGGATCCAAGGGAGTGGAAACTGTTGCTCTGGTATTGTGTTACTACATCTGGAAGTAGATCAGTTAGCAGTCAATCCTAATCTAATCCATTTAGGAAAATAGTTGGTCTAATTGGATTTGATAAACTGAAGGATCAATTTTCTCCCTTTTGAATCTCAACTTGTAAGCTGCCCCATCTATGTCCTATAATCAAATCAGTTTGAGCAAACTAGGGAAAAAAAAGAAATCAGTTTGAGCAGCATATTTAGCCTAATATTTTTACAAAATTTGATTCCAAACTCTAGATTTTAGCGTGTTCAAATTAATTCATAGCGTTTTCCACCTATGATTGCTTTGGACTTTACCAAGTGTTGTTTCTGACACATATCTTGGCTGTTCTTCCTATAACAGCATGCCATTCTAAAGCCTTTCATGCTGCGGCGGGTTAAAAAAGATGTGATTACTGAGTTGACAGCGAAAAATGAGATCACTGTACACTGCAAGTTGAGTTCTCGGCAGCAAGCTTTTTATCAAGCCATAAAGAACAAAATATCTCTTGCTGAGTTGTTTGATAGCAATCGTGGGCACCTTAACGAGAAAAAAATTCTGAACTTAATGAATATTGTCATCCAGTTGAGAAAGGTATTCTTTTGGTACATTTTTGTTACCTGAAAACAGTGAGAAATATGGATCTTCATGAATAACATTCATTGTGCAACGATTCAAATTCATAGTTGCCCATCATAATTTTTTTATTTTTTTTGGTAATGGTAGGTTTGCAACCATCCAGAGTTATTTGAGAGGAATGAAGGAAGTACATACCTTTATTTTGGAGAGATTCCAAATTCTCTACTGCCCCCTCCCTTTGGGGAGATGGAGGACATATACTATTCTGGAGGTCGGAATCCCATTACATACAAGGTACTTTACAGTCCTGTTCTTATTTTGTTTCCCCTTTTGTTTGAAAACGTGTCCACAATATCTTGTCTTACCAGATTAGATGCAGCATCCACTTTTGTCCCAATTGTTGACATATTTAGTACAAAACAAGCATTGGTTCTTAAGCACTCCATATGGACATTAGATCTATTCACTAATCTGGAGTTTGGACCCATCATTGGATATTTGGTTTTATTTTCTAGATTTCCGCTAAATAATTTAAGTTGTGTATGAACTTTTAGTTAAAAAATTAAATAAATAAATCTTGAAAGCCAACAAGGTTGAAATATGTTCCTAAGTTTATTATTATTATTATTATTATTTATTTATTTATTTTAACCACAACCTCATACTTGATTTCATAACTCTTTTAACTTGCGAATTTCTGTATCAAAGTTTGTTGATTTGGCTTGAGATGGGAATATTACAACAGCATGCATAATCTTGTTTTTAACTATCGTTTTACAGTTCTGCAAATAAAAAGGAAAAGGAAATATAAAAGTTTAGGTCCTTTCCAAGTGAGATAAAATTATATTTGTCTATTGGTAGAGTTCAAGCATGTGTATGGTTCTGGGGATTTGATCCCTATTAGTTGCAATAGAACTTATATGAGTTGAAATTCATTTAAATATGCATTAGTTATGCACATGTCAACTGGCCATATTAATTGCGATCCTTATTGTGTGCAATCCAAAGATTGCTGGGAGTTCTGTGTTGACTCAATTTTTATTAATTTTGTGACTCCATTTGGGTACCTACGATGTATCATTGAAAGAAAAGAGGACGAATATATTATCTTTATAATTAGTAGTAAAAGTTACATATTGGACATTATTTGTATTATTGATGTGAACTTGCCTTTTTGGAGCCCATGTTAACACATAAAAATATGCTTAGGTATATTTTTCCTTTATGTTTCAACTGATGATTTCCTCTAACCCCTTTCAGGTACCAAAACTGGTCTTCCAAGAAGTAGTTCGAAGTTCTGATATGCTTTGCTCAGCAGTAGGGCATGGTGTCAGCAGAGAACTGTTTGAGAAACGCTTTAACATATTCTCCCCAGAAAATGTTTATCGGTCCATGCTTCCCCAAGGGAAAAATTCACATGGGTCTTTTGCCAAAAGTGGAACATTTGGGTTTGCTCATTTGATTGATTTGTCCCCAGCAGAGGTGGCATTTCTAGCAAGTAGTTTTTTCTTGGAGAGATTATTGTTTTCTGTTCTAAGATGGGATAGACAATTTATGGATGGATTCTTAGACTTGCTCGTGGAAGCTGAGGATGACGACCTGCATTGTGGTCACCTTGGGAGGGAAAAAGTAAGAGCTGTCACCCGAATGTTACTGCTGCCGTCAAAGTCGGAGATTAATTTGCTTGCAAGGAGACTAGCTACAGGTCCTGGGGATGCTCCATTTGAGGCTTTAGTCATTTCACATCAGGATAGGCTTTTATCCCACATCAGGCTTCTTCATTCTACTTATACTTCTATACCGAGAACCAGATCTCCTCCTGTAAGTCTGTTGTTTTTTTTCCTGTCTATTTTCTTCATATGTAGTCACGAGAGCCTATTTCAAAACTTGGTCATTCTCTACATTGCTTCTCTTATTCTTCATAGATTGATGCCCACTGCTCGGACAGAAGCTTCTCTTACAAAATGATTGAAGAACTACATCACCCTTGGATTAAGAGGTTGTTAATTGGGTTTGCACGAACGTCTGACTGTAATGGCCCTCGGAAGCCAGATGGCCCTCACCATTTGATTCAAGAGATTGATTCTGAGCTACCAGTTTCCCAACCAGCTCTTCAGCTCACATATAAGATCTTTGGGTCATGTCCACCCATGCAAAGTTTTGACCCTGCTAAGATGCTCACAGTACGACGCCTTCCATTGACTTCTTTTTTAGTCTTTTTGTCTGTATGAATCATATGCATTTTCAAAAGAATGCTTAAATTGAAATTTCAATATGTTTTTTCTAGGACTCTGGGAAGCTTCAAACATTGGATATTCTATTGAAACGCTTGCGGGCAGAAAACCACCGTGTTCTTTTGTTTGCACAAATGACGAAAATGCTGAATATTCTTGAGGTATCAAAACTTCTCTCTTCAGTTTTGGTCGATTTCTCAAGGTCCTTATCTACAACTTGATAATGGAAGTAATGGGGAGCAATCTGACTTCAGCCATATGCACTAGAATAGAAAAAAATATCGATGGGTTATGTGACAGATATATATATATATATATATATTTTAAATAATAATAATTATGGCTAACTATTAGTTTGTATATTCTTATTTGCTCCATAAGTGAAAGCGTTCTTATTTTTTCTTTGATAGACCATGGAATTTGAACCCATGTTTCTGTTCCATGGTGCCAATGGAATTAAGAAGCTCTAGTGTGTGTGAAAGTTTCCAAATTTTACTGAGGGATGAGAAAATCTTCTATGGAGGAAGAGATTGCGTATCTCTCTGATGACTTCTCAGTTTGTGTTAACTTTGATAATGAAAATTGGAGAAAGCTGAAATGGATAGAAAAACAGGTCAAGTTTCATTAGTTACTAAATATACCATTTTAATTGACAAATTTCAGGCTTGGGAGTTCTTTTAACAAGAAGAATTACACTGATTATAAGTTTAATCAGAAAGTACAAGAAGAATTACACTGATTCTGGATTTAATTAGAAAGTACAGTGAAAAGTCACTAAGCCAGTTGCAAAGAAAATTTGGAATTAAATCTTGAGGGTATTGCGGACAATATTTGAAGAATGTACTACAGGAAAAGTATGTTATTGGAGTTAATATCTTCAATTTTTTTGGAGTTTCTATTACAAATAGATGCTTATGGAATTGTAAAGGAATCAAATAGCTTTTCTTCTTCAGTACAACACGACATGGTATGAGTCTTGATGGCGTCCTACACATACTGGATCAGACACGTAGGTCCTTTAGTTGTGATAATGAATGAAGAAGAAAAGCTCAAATTTCATAGCCACAAAAGTTCCCTACTTTTGAGATTTTCTCCTTTTTTCACCACATTTCATTTAATTTAAATTTTTATGCTAGTATATTTTTTGTAGCATATTATGGGCATGACGTTATCCACATACCCACATCCAAGTTTTAGGCACATTTCAAAGTCCCTGGATCCTAATAATTGGGATTCAGGGAGGTTCGACATTTGAACACATACATGTACCCCAGCCAATGTAAAACTAGGGCTGTAGATTGACAAAGCCCAAATAAGCCTTGGGCTTGCTAGCAAATAAATGTTACAGATCATTTTCCGCTTAGTGCTGTACCCTTGTTGGGTCCAGTATCTAATGGATGATAGAATTTATAATTGAGCTGGGTGTGTAACCCATTAGTTCTTGCAAAAAAAAATAGGAATTCTGTGGAGCTTCATCCTACCTGTCGCATGTTTATGTTTCTTAAGCTAAACAAGCTTTTGCATTGCTCAACCTTGATTACAAGCCTTGAGCTCAGGTCCTTCTTGTAATAAGCTCACTTGCAAGTTAGTTTTGTGTCTTGACTCCAAGCTGGTACAGGATCATGGCAGTTCACTTATCTTTTTTTCTGAGCCATTTTAACTGGGAGTTGTCTTGTTGCTGACTCTTTCTTATATTTTCAGGATTATATGAACTATAGAAAATATAAATACCTCAGGCTTGATGGATCCTCCACCATAATGGACCGTCGAGACATGGTCAGGGACTTCCAGCATAGGTAGGGACTTAATTGACTGATTATGGTTTGTTTTATAGATTTTTAATTTAATTTGCAGTCCTTTCATTTCATACCTATTTGTTCCCTGAATATAACCATGGAAGCGAGATGATGAAGAAAATCTTTATTGTCTTGTCACAGGAGTGATATCTTTGTATTCTTGCTGAGTACCAGAGCCGGTGGACTGGGTATCAACTTGACGGCTGCTGACACTGTCATATTCTATGAAAGTGATTGGAATCCAACGTTAGATTTACAGGCTATGGATAGGGCTCATCGGCTGGGTCAGACTAAGGATGTTAGTATCCTATTCGTTATTTCCATTTCATTTTGTTAAACTCAATGGTTGTGATTGATTAAAATTTCCAAAGTTTTGTTAGTCTTTTCATTGTCCTTTACCATTAGTAATCATTTTTATTTTTAATAGGCAAGCAACACAGCACACTTTCACACACCCCACACTGCCCCAAGTGGGGGTTCGAAGTTCTTTTTTTTTTTTTTTTTTTGATAAGTAAAATGTATTAGAAGGCGTTCAAAAGGGGAACGTGTCCCAAGCTATACAAAAATTGAAACTATGATCTCAAGGAGCCCAAAAAGTCCACAATATCCTCAATGGAGGAAAAATCTCTCCCCTAACCCCAACAAAAAAGAGTACAAATAATAGAGAATTTCAACACCCCAATGGAGGACTCCTTCCCCTCAAAAGATCTTCTATTCCGCTCTTTCCAAATGCTCCACCAAACACAAAAGGGGGTTACCCTCCAGAAGACTCTCGCCTGAGCCCCCACCCATTGGCCCCTCCAAATATCCAGCAATTCCCGAGATGTCCGAGGCATAACCCAATGAATACCAAACAAATCAAAAATGAGACTCCAACAATCATGAGCCATAGGACAATGCAGCAGCAGGTGATCCACTGATTCCCCATTCAACTTACAAAGACAACACTGATTAACAATAATATGTCTTCGCTTCCTCAAGTTATTCAAAGTCAAAATCTTGCTCCAAGCTGCGGTCCACACAAAAAAGGCTACCTTAAGAGGCACCTTGGACAACCACACCGTCTTCCACGGGAAGGAAACGCCATGAAAACCAGAAAGGCACACAAAAAAAGACCGAACCTGGAACATCCCCTGAGAAGAGGGCACCCAAAACAGGGAGTCAACACCAGTGCCCTCCACCTCCTGTCTGTACAAGAGAGCCAACAAGCCAGTGACATCATCCAACTCCCAATCCTGAAAAGATTGCCGGAATCGCACATCCCAAGATAACCTCTTGCTATCAAGGCGATGGCAGTTAGCAACCATAGCATGTTTGTCAACAGCAATCCTGAACAGCCTTGGAAACAAAAGAGACAAAGGCCTATCCGCGCACCAGGGATCCTCCCAAAACCGGACAAACCTTCCATCCCGAACTTTGAATCTAACATGTTTGGAAAACTCGTCCCATCCTTTTCCAATGGCCCTCCACACCCCTACTCCACTAGCAGACCTGATTGGCCTAGCTGACCACCCCCCTCTCTCCTCCCTAAAGCGACAGGAAATAACCCTTCTCCATAATCTATGCCTTTCACTGCCGAATCTCCAAAGCCACTTACCGAGGAGAGCACTGTTAAAGGGGGCCAATCTCCTAATTCCAAGCCCACCCAACTGAAAAGGCCTGCAAACTTGCTCCCATCTGACAAGATGATACTCAAACTCCTCTCCACGACCCCCCCAAAGGAAGTTTCGTTGTAGCATCTCAAGACGGCCAACAACCGAGGCTGGAATCCGAAAGAGCGAAAGAAAATACGTTGGAAGGCTTGACAAGACGCTTTTCACCTGTGTTAAATGCCCGGTGAGGAGAACTCATACCACCTGTGTTAAATGCCCGGTGGTCTTTACTCTTTAGTAACCTTCTTGCTCTTGTAGCAACTGGCGTTATAATTAAGTTTCACCTATCCTAATTGTATGGATTTTCATGTTGCATTCATTAATAATCCTTGAAAGGAAAAATTGAAGAATCATTTGTGAGGCATCCTTCATATGATCCTGTTATTAGTGCAAAAATGTGAAGAGAAGAAGACACTTTTTGATATTATAGTTTGCTTTAAATATACGCGTGGTCCCTTCAACTTGTCCTAAAAGTCTGGCTGCTATTTTAAAGAACCAGTTCTACTCCAAAATTGTTTGAATTATAATGGAACTTAAGTGCTGGACTTTTACTTGCAAACTATGAAGCACGGACACGGACACGGCGATACGGAAAATTTAAAAAAAATAGGACACGGACACGGCAATAAAATAATATATATATATATATATATATATATATATATATATATATATATTATTTTTACTTAATTTCTAATTTACATTTAATAAACATAACTTTTGGGCCCATTATTCTCTTGAAAAATATAAGCCCAAATAGCTCTAAAATATAAACAAAAAAAGGAGGAGGTATATAGTTGTATCTAAAAGTGGAATTTTTATTTCTTATAATCAAATGGGTTCAAAAAGATAAGATTGCAATCTTATCACTTCTCTCTTCCCTAGGGTTTTTATTACCTTTTCTACGCCGTTGTCTTTAGGGAACGACGACAGGGGGGAAGCATATGCTCCCAACAGGAATTGATCGAAACAAGCAGCCTATTTTAGAACCTTTTCATCGGAACTTGAAAAGGCCAAAAGTCTGAAAATGGAAGTTCTCTCTCCTCCTGGAAGCGACTCTCTCATCTGCTCCATCTCTTAATCTCCCTCCATCTGCCTTCCTATGAATACACACTGTTACACACATGTATATATCTCTTTATCCTCTCTCACTTTTTTTTTTTTTTGACAAAAAATCTGAACCCCGTGTCCTATGCATGTCGCCAGCATGTCCTTGGCTGTGTCCGACATGAAAAAAAGAAGATAAAAGAATAGGACACCTCTACAGAGGTGTTGGACATGCGTATCCGTGTCGGACTCGTGTCCGACACCGGTACGACAGCCTATTCTCACGTGTCGGTGCTTCATAGATTGTAAATCATTCTCCTTCTTGTCTGCGACCACAAGAATCTGAGTCCTAGGAACATCTGAAAGTTTATGCTCAAGACGTCAATAATTTGTCAGTCACTCAGATTTGTTTCATTTCTGTCCCCACTCCTATATTTAGATTCTCTTAACTCTTTGTCGTCTAAAAGAATTTGCTGGTTCTAGAACCTCTCTATCATATTACATTTATTTTTTATGGATCAATAGTAATGTTATACCATACTTGAATTTTGATGGGTTTGGTTTTTTTATCTTCTTTCTGTGATGTAGGTGACTGTCTATCGATTAATTTGTAAAGAAACCGTTGAAGAGAAGATTTTGCAAAGAGCGAGCCAGAAGAGTACTGTGCAGCAGCTTGTCATGACTGGGGGTCATGTTCAGGGTGATCTCCTGGCCCCCGAGGATGTTGTTTCATTATTAATTGATGATGCCCAATTGGAACAGAAATTAAAAGAAATTCCAGCACAGGTGTGGTCTCAATTTGGTTTAGCTCCTTTCATTTTTTCCAAGTTGTTTTCCTTTTATCTTATTCAGCTTTGCAATTGGTTCAGCTCGGTTTTGAACTTATTTATTATTATTATTTATTTCCATATTTATTAAGCATCCCTTGAATTTTTTTCCCCCTTACCCAGGGTAAGGATAGACAGAAGAAAAAAGCTGGATCGAAGGCTATACGAATAGATGCTGAGGGTGATGCATCTTTGGAAGATCTTGCAAACTTTGGATCTCAGGGTAATGGACATGAGCCCTCTCCTGATCCTGAGAAGGCAAAGTCCAGTAACAAAAAGGTGCCAAAAGCTATAATGGCCTACTTTTTTTCTTCTACAACTGGAATCTTTATTTCTTGTCTGATAGTGCGATACATATAACTCATATGGTGAACACTAAACTTTAGACTTCACAAGATATTCCACTTCCAAGTCAGTTGCTGATTACAGAATAAGGATTATCAGATTGTTTTGAGCCAAATTAGCTGACTTTAAGTGACTACTTTTTGATACCTCGACTACGTGTTACTCGCATTAGGAAAGAAATTTAGAAATATGCAATGCTAAGAAACCTCATCTTTTTGACCTTGTCTGTAAAATGTTTTTCTGTTTGTTTCTTTATTTGGCTGATTGGAGTTTGAACCGTATTACTTCTTTTGATAGTCTTTTTATGCAAATGCTGAAATAGAAGTCAAGCTCCATGGCTACATTTTACTTTTTTCATCTGGGTGATGTTAAAGTTGTCTGTTTGCAGAGGAAAGCTACCGCCGGCAAGCAAACTCCTTCAAAGCCAAGGCCTCAAAAGAGTTTGAAAAATGCTGATTATTCATCCCCCAACATGATGGACTATGAATTGGATGATCCCCTTCAAAACTCGGATACCCAACAGCAGAGACCCAAGAGGCCAAAGAGGCCGACGAAGAGTGTAAATGAAAATCTTGAACCAGCATTTACTGCCCCTGTGGTGGTTCCAGAGTGGATTCCGAATCCACCTGTGCAGGAGACCCAATCTTCTGGTTTGGAAACAGGAGCTGATGGAACCCCAATGCATAACAGCGACTTGCCAACCTGATAATAATAGGAAATGGGAAATTTGTCAAATTTAAATGAGGCTGCAAGCCTGTTATGTGAAGAGATGCAAACTCACAATCTGAAATGATGGATGCTTGGGAGGGTCCTTTCTGACTGGGACCGCTGGAGCTGGACAAGGGGAACACCAGCGGAATTGTATGATAGTGTTATACAGATTAGTTATTCAGATTTTTGTTGCCAGTTTTACTGGTTATTACACTATTAAGTGTTTGTATAGGTGAAGTCTATCTTGGTTGTAGGAACTACATAATTGGATCAAAGATTTTGTAAACAGCCTCAAGATGCATGAAATACGGTGGGATGGGGAACTTTGCTGAAATATAAATTGATAAGGAGCACATAATTTGGTCGACCATGTATACTTTGCTTTTGAGCATGTACTCTCCCTCTCTCTCTCTCTCTCTATATATTATATATATACACTTATATGTGTACATGTATTTATATGTCTCTGTGTTGTATCTGTGGATTAAGAATTGTTTTGGGTGGGTATTTGAGTTCATATTTCTATTTATTGATACAACACCGCGGAATAGAAATTTTTAAATAAATTGGAAAGATATCTAATTCCGTAACAGCTGAAATGAGCATATCTAGATATCTAGTTCATATTGTTTTGTCCTTGGGCATTGTGTGATTTTACCTCAGACAGCCGCGATTTTTTTATTTTTTACTTTGGTCCCCGTGATCTTTTGATTTTTTACTTTCGGAGGTGAGGAAGTATTTGATTTTATAATTCCTTTTTGTTTTGACTTCTGAGATACTAAAAAATATAGATACTAAAAGAAGAAAGAAATACCTGAAAAAACAACATCAACATTAAACTCTTCCATAAGTTGAGATCTCCGTGAGATTCTAAGCTATTAGAGTGCAAACTTCATAGCAAAAAACAAAGAAGAGATATATACAGGCACACACAAATATCCACGTTTGGATTATTTTCGAACTTGAGTCGACAGTTTTGTACCTTGAATTGCACTCAAGTTTGATGTTTTAGCTTATCAATCCGCTTGAGTTGCATCCCTAACTCAAGGTTGACGTTTAGTTTATTGATCCGATTCAGTTGCATCCCTACATGAGCAACAATTCTTGAACCTCATCATAAGCTTGGATTGAAGCTATTTTGACTTATTAGTGCAACCAAAAAATATGTGTATACACTCCTCCTCCTTGCCTTGCTCTGTTTTACAGTAACATGCACCATAATCACTCCCAAAAAAAGAAAAAAAAAAAAAAAGTGACTAAATTTGATAACATGGTTTGAGAGTGTAACAAGCATATTTTAAAACCAACCCTTTTGGGTATATGATCCCAATCCATTGCTTGCATTCACTCCAGGATTGTCGATGCAGGTTTGAATTTGCATCATAGGTAACAGTAACCCAATTCAAACTCCATAAGAGATAGGACAATCCAAAACAATCTAAATTCAACCTTAAAATTGAAGGTCATATTAATCAAATTATAATGAAAAATTGTAAACTTGACAACTATAGGTGTTACTGATACTATAATGATAACAATATGTTGTCGTAACTCAAATATAATATAAATTTTCTCCAATTTTTTATTTTTTTATTTCTCGAAGTAAACACACAAGGTTGTTGTTACTCTTTCTGGCCTTTGAAGTCATTGAAACCGCATCAAACACACAAGGTTTGATTTTCACCAAAAATTAGTTTTATGTGGGGTTGGGGTTTACGCACAAGGTTTGTTGTAGTCTCTTTGTAAACACACCATCCCAACTTTTTCATAACATGTATCCTATATAAATTTTATTACATCTTAATTTTCTGCTTTCATGTATTACATGTTAATTTGTAACATCCTAACTTTCTCCTACCATGAATCAACATAACATCGAACAAACATGTTCAGAATGACATCACAATTTAAAGGCAACATGTTTCAAACGCAAATTATACATAACATCTCAACTTCTCATAACATGCATCACATGTTAATTTTTGTGACTTGATAACCTTGAGAAAATACACGAAACCCTAACCCTAAAATCAATGGAGATAGAGAAGAATCGTTCAAAATTTAAAGTAACGTGGTCGATGAGAACAAATAAAAAGTTTGATTTTTGTAAATACGTCAAATTTATTCAAATCGTAAATTGCACCTCTCACTGTGTCAATAGATTTGTGCTGTGTATGTCATGAAGCTTGGAAGAGGGATGATTTTGTCTTAGATGAGTTGAGAATTCTATTTTGGTTGGAACAGAAAGAAGACATTAAAAAGTGTATAATTTTAATTTCCTTAAGACATTTGCCATCCCTTTCCTAATTAACCTCCATTTTTAACTCCAAATAGTTACCACGCCCAAAGTTTGAGCCATAAACATAACCCAAAGTTTCAAACGGTCCTGGTCCACCATGTGATTACCAGGCCTTTGATCTGCTGAGGTGCATCATAATTCAGTGTGGCGCTCAACAGAATATCCCTATTAGCACTTTAAACCGTTCCGCTTAGGGCTTTCCTCGCTCCAAAAACCATCGTCCGCTCAGCGCATACAGTGAACTTCCGAGAAAAATTGCAGAGAGGGAGAAGATATATATATATATATATAGAGAGAGAGAGAGAGAGAGAGCGCGAGAGAGATATGGCGAGTGACTCAGACATGGGTAACTGGACCGATCTCCTCCATTCGTCTTCGAAGCTTCTCGAACAAGCCGCTCCTTCTGCTCAGTTCCCTCCTCTTCAGGTCACACTCTTCACTCTCCGTTTGGTTTTCGAGGAAAAATCCAGTAAAATAAAGGAAGACAAAAGAAAATGATTCAATGTTACGTCCTCTAGTACTGTTGTTTCATTAACAATGAAATTATCTTTAATTCTCTAACGCCAAGTGTTAGTATTAGGCTTAGTTGACTAGAGGTTTATATTTTCTTTATTATATTTCCCCATTTTTATGGGGGAACTGGGAAATGAATGGAGAGTATATTGATCTATCAATTCTTTTGTTCTAATTATATATATGCTTTATTTTTTTTTTATTTAGAGAAATTTGGATCAATTGGAAGCGTTGTCGAAGAAGCTCAAGTCTAAAACACTAAGGACCGAAGCTCCTTCTCAATCCCTTGCTGCCACTAGGTACTTCTCTGTTGTTCATCATGCATGTATGCATGACAACATACATTTAAGCGTATTTGCTTAAATATATTTTAGTATATATGTAGCTACAAATTTATTTACGTGTGTGCATATATATGTAGTCACAAAGGGATGCATTGACACAATAAAGGCCATGTATGATAGCTGTATCACTATAGGTAGAACGCCTCCAGGGAATTCTCAATTACCCTAGGCTTACACCAAGGGTCAGCATTAAGTCCATACCTTTTTGTCTTTGATATGGATGAGCTGACAAGACACATCCAAGATGAGATTCCATGGTGTATGTTATTTGCAGATGGTATTGTTTTAGTTGAAGAGATTAGAGTAGTAGTTAATGCCAAATTGGAGGTTTGAAGAAAACAATTAGAACTAAAAAGTTGAACTAAAACTGAATATATGGGGTGTAACTTTGGTAAATCTAGAAACACAAATGAGAATGTAGTAAGGATTGAGAATCAAGAGGTACAAAAAAGTGCACATTTTTGTTATTTAGGCCCAATTATTCATAATGAGGGAGATAGATATGGCCTTAATCATAAAATTAAGGTAGGATGAGATACATTTAGGAGTTCATCTAACATATTTTGTGATAGACGTATCCGATTGAAAAGGGAGTTCTATAGAACCATTATTAGACTAGCCATAGTTTATTGTACCGAATGTTGGGCAGTTAGGAAACAACATTTGCATAAAGTGAGTGTGGTAGAAGTGCGAATGTTGAGATGGATCTGCGGTAAGCCTAAAAAGGATAGAATTAGAAATGATCACATTCGGGAGATAGCGGTTTTTTTTTTTTTTTTTTTTTGATAAGTAAGATTTTTATAAAAATCGCTCAAAAGGGGAGCGAATCCCAAAGAAACAAAAGGCCACAAAACGCCTCAAGCCTTCAAAGAGGCCAAAAAAATAACAATCTCCTTTACTGAACGATAATCTCTCCCAGAGACCCAACAAAAAAGAGTGGAAATGATGGAGAACCAAAGATGGTTTGGACATGTGCAAAGAAGACCTTTAACTGCACCAGCTAGGAAAAGTGACATAGTCCACATTGAGGGTAATACTAGGAGAAGAGGAAGACCAAAGCTAATGTGGGTAGAGTTACTAAAGAAAAATATGATACATGTGGATTGACTAAGACTGTAGCCTTCAATAGAGTGGAATGATAAAGTGGATTCATGTAGCCGACCCCAAGTAATTGAGAAAAGGATTGGTTGTTGTGTGTGTGTGTGTGTAGAGAGAGAGAGAGAGAGAGAGAGAGAGAGAGAGAAGGAGAGGGGGGGGGGGGGGGGAAGGGAGAGAGAGATTCATAAATACATGCATATAGCTAGTGACAGTTTTTACTAAGAGTTCTAAGCATGATTGTAAATGCTATGTGTTAGGATTCGAACTTAGTGTTGGCAACTTTCACAATAAAAGTCCAGGTCTGTACTTCTATTTTTAGCTTTTGATCACATTTTCAAAAGTTATTTCACTTACTTAGTTGGTGGTGATGATACCTATGTCCAATGCCAAATTCCGTATCTGAAGATACATCAATGGGCAAAAAGGTAAAATCTTATATTGAATAATTAACTCACCAAGTAAGGTTTATAATCATGCATTCTCATCATGACTCATTTTATTGCACCACGTTTTGAATCATGAAAAAGATGTTTCGAATGTGTGAAATTGATTTTGAAATAGATATATTTAAACAAATATTTTTCACAAAAATTGAGAGGCTCGAATGTGTCAATCGATCGAAAGCTTCCCCAAAAAATTATATTGAAGTAAATAGTTTAATTGAATGCTCAATTGATCAAATCCTTGGTAGTAGTTGTCGATAGCTCGATCAACCTGTGCGCAAACAATTTTTGAGAAATTCTGTAAGTCAGAATTCTAAAACATTTATGTTTCCTTTTTAAATTATAACTAAAAAACTCTAATTCCTTTGAACTTAGAGCACTGTTTTTTAACACATTATTGAGAGAGCACTTAAGAGAGAGATCATATATCTTTAGAGAGCATGCTTTTATTTTAATCATCTAGCATCTTGTATTAGATGGTGAGTTATTATACAGAATGTTGAATATCATAATCCTTGTGCTACATGGAGAATTCAACACCAAAGTGTCTTTACACAATGAATGCGCAACTTGTACGACTAGCCATTGGAGATCAAATCACAGAGTGGAGAGCGGATTCGTATGAGGAATGAATTTGTTAACGGATTGGATTTTGTGCCTACAAGACTCAAGTGGAATTTTTTATGTAAAAATCGTCTGTTCGTTTGTGGTTGCACAATTTATTTATTTCTACTCTCTACACTTGAACTGATTTATATTGCTGCATTCTAAATATAATGGTGATAATTTAAAAATCAGTTATTGTTAGCTAAAATTGGACAATATCTATTCAGTCCCCTCTCGTCTCGATCTATATTGGAACTTGCGAGACTATTTTTGGTCCTTCACTTATCTCTTTGTTTTGTTGCTGAGAACACAAAGCAAAATACTTTAGAATTTGAATTTTTACAATAGTTTTTGTTTTGGAGTGGCTGATGTAAGATTTCACAGGTTTGAATTCTCTCTCTCTCTCTTTTGGGGTGGGGTGTTTGGGGGGGGGGGGGGTTGGTTTGTTGTATTGTAATTTGTCCACCGATGATCTTTAGTAGTTTGATATTCTTTAATTATTTCTTTTTTGTCTTTGCAGGCTGCTAGCCCGTGAAGGAATAAATGCGGAGCAGCTTGCTCGGGATCTTAAATCTTTTGAATTAAAGGTAGAATTTCTGAAGACATTCAACTTGATGCACGGTATCCTAATGTCATTGACTGCAATTGTATAACTGCATCAAGATAGTTCAGGGAGTCAACTAATCTTTTATATTTCATCGAAGTGTATGAATATGTGCTGCGACGTTTTACAATTTGTCCCCTGAAGTTATATGATGAAGAATTTAGCAGACCTTCCATAAAATGTCGCATGTATGCACTTCATACATCTATATCCTTGTATATTGCTATGATCATCCACAATTTTATGAATAGACCATTCTCTTTTTATGTTGCTTTACTCTCACCTACAGGGCTACAAACACAAGCACATTGCAGTAAATTGAATTACATAAGATTTTCTTTTTACCAAGAATATTGGAGTTTTTTGGCGTGCCTTAAGTGTCTGCTGTAGGTATAGCAAATAGCAATAGATAGAAGATAGCAGTACATGAATTATTAGTCACATGAACACAGATGATTAAGATACTTTCTCCTCTCTTTTAATTTTTTAAAGAAGTTATCCATGATGTGGTAATTGTTCTTTACAACTCAACAACTCACAAAAAAAAAAAAAAAATGTTATAACAACTTGTATGCATATAAATAACGGCAGTTCAATATTTAAGAAACTTGGGAAGGACAAAGGGAACAAATATCATTGTTGATTATCACACTGTTCTATTATATGAAAACCATCCGAAAAGTCCTCACTTTTTAAGTGAGTAAATGCTGTAAGATTGAAGCTTTGGAATTGAATCTGATTAGTTCATTGGATGCTCGATCTGAAACAGATTAATTGTTCTAGTTTAATTCTTAAGTATGCTAGATTATTACTTATAAAAAAAAAAATGTATGTTAGATTATTATTTTTGGTTGATTTGTAAAATTCAGGAATTAGTGGATTTCTGCAAGTGCAAAGGGGGTCACATATGACTCATAATGGTATGTATTAAAGTCTGGTCTCAGAAGTTGTAAGGGTCCAGTTCTATAAAGTTATTTTTTTGGAAAATGCTCTTGATATTTACTGAAATGTGTTGAAACCATAGTTTTCAAGTATCAGCCGTATCTGTCCGAGTTGAATACCGATATAACGATGAGAATAGGAATCACGTGAAACTTGTTTGAGTCTCTAATTGACAGAGTCTTTGGGGGTTCCTATTATAAAGCATGACTAGTTAATAGGGGATTCACTGGAAAATACTAACTTGGCTCATTGTTACTGAGATAATGGTCTACTTCTTCACATCTACCATGCAATGCATGCCGTTATTGATAGAGTCTCTCATTGTTGTATGGCAAGGTTTTCACCTTGGGACTTGATTGATTAGAGACGTTGAGAAAGCTCATCGGAGAAAGCTCATCATAGTTGAGATGCGGTCGGAGTCTACTACTCCGACCAGTCACCGGAGTCATAAACTCCAGTGAAATCCTTTGATACTCTTCTTTTCGCTGTTCTCTTTCTCTGTTGGGTTTGTGGTCTGTGTTTTCTGTTGGGGGTTTTGCTTGTTTTCATCCTTTGATACTCTTCTTTTCACGTTCCCCTTTTGAACGTTTTTCTAATATATTTTTACTTATCAAAAAAAAAAAAATCTCTTTCTTCTGTTTCTGGTTTATTATGCGCACTTTCTTGGTGGTTACTCGTTTACCTCGTCTCTTTCAAGGTGGGTTTGCCAAGTCTGCAAACACGTATAGAGGTCCTTCGATTTTCTTGGACGATGATTTGGTTGGTAGGAGGAAAGAGGACCTGCAATCGTGTTTAGTGGGTTAGTTTGATAAGGAAGTGGGTGATTTGGCTTAGATTGCCGCTTAGGCAATGCGGGCTTGGAAGATTTCAGCTGAAGTGGTCGTTTCGCCGTTGTCGGACTCGTTGATCCTTTTTTGTCTCCCTTCTCCGACGGTGGCAGCTCGTGTTCTGAAGGAGGGCCGTCGGAAATGGGGTTGTGCTTCTCTCTGAGTGGAGGCTTGGAATTTTAGAGTGGGTTGCTCCGAGGTTTTGAAGGTGCAAGGGTTGAAGAAGGTTACGCGTCTCCCTCTTCACCTCTGGAGCCATGCTTTGTTTGTGACGGTCGGCGATCTTTGTGGTGGCTTTATTTGGGTTGATGCAGATGAGTCCAAGGATGCTGAAAGAGTCCGGATAACGGTCTCGGTGGGACGTGCTTGCCCTCCTTTTGTCTTCATCCATGATGATCGATTCTGCTATAAGGTGGCTGTTTGGGTGGAGAAGCACCCTGTTCTTGTTTCAATGACGGACAGCTTGGAAGGAGGAGATGGCTCGCATCTGTTGAAGGAAGTTGATTGGATGAGGTGGGAGTCCATGGGACTGAAGGGGAAAGCTGAATTTTAGAAATGGAAGGCGTGGAGGGATAAGGTTTGGGTTCGCAACACGGAATGCTTCAAAAGAATCTTCACTCAGAAAAGGAAGGAAGGTTCTTCATCATCGGTCAACCGTGGCAGGTTTGTTTTTGACGGGATTCTCAGAGCGGAGATTTCAGAGGTCATGATTGTCCGCCGGTTTCCCATGTTGGTGATCGGAGAAGAAACCGAGGTGGTTTTCATGCGCCTTCAATGCGTAGGTGGGGAAGAGTCGGGGACCAGACACGTGGTTGGCGCTCTGGAGTTGGACGTTCGGGGTGGGATACAGCTGTTTCCTCATTGTCATTTGAGTTTAAATTTGAACCGCATGTGACTTTACAGGTCTCACCTTCGGATGGGCTTTTGGTTGGGCCGGAGGTTGGGGCCATTGTGCCTAGTTTGAATGGTCCGGCTCCTCATGGGCTTACGGACTCTCGTCGTAGTGACCCGAATTGTGCTAAGAAGGCCCAGGTTGATAAGGTCTTGTGTGCTCCTTCTGTTTTGGGCTGCAATTTGAAGGGTGGGCCGCGTTTCAATTCTGTTAACTCTGGGCTGAAGGTGGCCAATAGGTTTGAGCCTTTTTCTTCAACTGATGGACCCGTTTCATCTGATGGACCTGTTCCTTCATCTGACGGACCTGGTTTTAAGAACTTTGATTTTTTAAAGGACGGACGGCGTGAGGTGCGGCCTTTGCAAGGTCGCCGGCTGAGATATAAGAAGAAGCTTCTTCTCCCTGCAATCCAAAGGAGATAGTCACGCAAGGAGAAACAGAAATGGGTGGTGAATAACACGTTTGCTTCATCTCCGGGTAAGTTCACCTCTCAGCCGAGATTCTCTCTTCTTCATCCTTCCTCTCTTCCTCTTATTCTCCTCCTTGTGGGGTGACAAAGCAGTGTGCCGGATTGGGGAAGGAAGGGCTTTTTCCAAAAGGTTGTCTCCGGTTTTTGAGGCAGAATCGGAGAAGCGTTTGGCTGAGCAGATTTGCGATGGACAAGGTTGTTAAGTGGGATCCGTGGGGTCTCTTGACAAGAAACGGGAAGGCGTCACTGTCTGTGTGGGACGGGATGTGCAGATATGTTTGGATGATGTTTTTGCTGCTGCTTTGTTAAAGGACCTACAGGTTCACTTGGCGCTGAAAGACTTTTAGGCTGAGCCAGGGGGCCTTCTTTCTGATGAGGAATTTGGAACTCCGATGGATGGTTGCGCTCCTTCCACCTCTGTTCCTGAGGATTGGGAGGGAGTCTCGTGTTCTTCCCTTGATGGGGAGGTGTGGTTGATTCAGTGGGAAGGAGCTGAGCAGGCTATGGAGACGTGTGTTCCTTTGGCTGTCATTCGACTGGAAGAGGAGTGTTCGGAAGGTGTTGCTGCTGTTGTTGGAAGGGTGGATTTGGAGGCGGAGTGGTTTCAAGATAAAGGGGGGGAGGTGGGCTCTCTTTTGGGAGTGTCTTTTGAAGGGAGAATGGATGAGGCGTTGAGTATGTTCCATGGTATCCTAAATTCACAGCTTTTTGAAAGAATGGGAGGTAGGGATGGTGTTCAGGAAGGGGCAGCTGAGAGGGAGGTGTGGAGATCCGCGGATCTTATTACTTATGAAAGGCGGAATAGGAGTCCAGGGAGAGGGACAATGGGAGGAGGAGTGGGACGGATTTTGCTACTGTTTCCCTATGAAGCTACAAATCTTGTCATGGAATGTGCGGGGGTCTAAATGACCCGGTGAGGAGGAAAGTGGTGAAGTCGGTTATTCGTAAAGGGGGAAGTCATGTGGTGTGTTTGCAAGAAATCAAGCTTCGATGACGGATTTGATTGTGCGAAACATTTGGGGTGGGAGATTTGTGAAGTGGTGTGCCTTGGATGCCAATGGTTCTGCGGGTGGTGTTCTTGTTTTGTGGGATAGCAGATGGGTGTCTTTGGTGGATTCTCGGATTGGGAATTTTTCAGTTTCATGTGTGTTCTTTATGGTGGAGGATGGTTTCCATTAGGTTTTTTCGGCTGTGTGTGGGCCTACGGATGATCTGGCTAGGCCGATGTTATGGGAGAAGTTGGGGGATTGTGGTGGGCATTGGTTGCTGCTGTGGTGTATTGGAGGTGATTTCAATGTTGTTCGCTCCCCTTTTGAGAGATCGACGGGGGGAAGGTGGACGTCTTACATGAAGTCTTTTTCGGCTTTCATTGATGATTCTGGGCTAGTTGACTTGCCTTTGGAGGGAGGGCATTTTACTTGGTCTAGTGGACACTCTCCTCCTACCTTCTCTCGGCTCGATAGATTCCTTGTGTCGGGAGACTGGGAGGAGAAGTTTGCTGATGTTGTTCAGGCTACTTTGGCTCGCCCTATTTCTGACCATGTTCCGTTGATGTTGGATTGTGGTGGGTTGCGTAGAAGATGATCTCCATTCAGATTCGAGAATATGTGGCTTCGTGCCGAGGGTTTTTTGGATAGAGTTCGAGTTTGGTGGAATGGATTTGGGGGGGACGGTACGCTAAGCCATTTACTCGCGGTTCACTTGTGTTTTCTTAAGGAAGACATCAAGATTTGGAACAAGGAGGTCTTCGGGAATCTTATCTGGAGGAAGAATCGGGTCTTTTCTGAGATTGCTGATATTGAACAGATGGAAGGTCAGGGGGTTCTAGCAGACTCCCTGAAGGCTAGGAGGGTGGAATGTCAGGTGGAATTTGTTGAGATTGCTATTATGGAGGAGATTTCGTGGAGACAAAAGTCTTGTGCTTTGTGGCTCAAGGAAGGTGATAGGAACACGAAGTTTTTTCATCCCTTGGCCAACGCCCATTGTAGGGGCAATCATATTGGTAGGATTCGGGTGGAAGGAGAGTTATTGTGCAAGGAGGATGAGATTTGCAAGGGTATCGTTGACTTCTATGCGAAGCTTTTCACAGAGTCTGTTGGGTGGAGACCTTTGCTTGAGGGGGCTCCAGTTTGATTCTATCTCTAGTGAGGAGGGCTTTGGTCTGGAGGTGCTTTTTTCTGAAGAGGAAGTGTTGGTTGCGTTGAAGAGCTGTAACGGGGATAAAGCCCTAGGTCCTGATGGGTTTACTATGAGATTTCTTTTGGAGTGCTGGGAGGTGGTTAAAGGGGAAGTGATGGGCACGTTTCATGCTTGACACACTCAGGGCTCTTTTGAAAAGAGCTTGAATGCCACTTTCATCGCCTTCATTCCCAAAAAAGGGGGGGCGTTAGATGTTAGGGATTTTCGCCCTATTAGTTTGGTGGTATGCATTTATAAGTTGATTGCCAAAGTTCTTGCTAATAGATTGATGAAGGTGTTGGATGGAGTCATTTCTGACTCTCAGAATGCCTTTGTGGGAGGTCGTCAGATTCTGGACTCGGTTCTTATTGTTAGTAAGTGCGTTGATGCCAGATTGCATAGTGGGGTTCCAGGCGTTCTGTGTAAGTTGGACATCGAGAAGGCTTATGACCATGTGAGTTGGAGCTTCCTTCTTTATCTGTTGGAGAGGATGGGGTTTGGAGTGCGATGGAGGAAATGAATTCATTTTTGTATTTCCAGTGCTTGTTTCTCTGTGCTTGTGAATGGAGCTCCGTTGGGTTTTTTCTCTAGCTCGAGGGGGATGAGGCAGGGAGATCCGCTTTCCCCTTTTTTGTTCCTCTTTGTGATGGAAGCCCTCAGCAGGTTGATGAGGAGGGCTGTGGAGCTGGGTTTTCTGAGGGGTTTCCAGGTGGGCAGGGATGTTGCTAGTTAGTTGGAGATTTCGCACCTCATGTTTGCAGATGATACTTTGGTTCTGTGTGATGCAGATGTGTCCCGGCTCAGATATCTGAAATGAGTTTTGATTTGGTTCCAAGTTGTGTCCGGCCTTAAGGTGAATGCTGGAAAGAGTGTTTTGGTTCCAGTTAGCGAGGTCCCTGACATCGGGATGCTTGCGAGCATTCTTGGATGTTGTACAGGGGTTGCCCCTGGGTGCTCCTTCGAGATGTGTGGTGGTTTGGGATCCAGTCGTGGATAGGTTTAAGAGGCGGTTGGCGGGATGGAAGAAGCAGTATCTTTCCAAAGGGGGGCGGGTGACTTTGATCAAGAGTACCCTTTCTTGTCTTCCCACCTATTTTATGTCTCTGTTCCAGATTCCCTCCTTGGTGGCGGAGAGGATTGAGGGTTTGCAGCGCAATTTTTCGGTTTGGGGGGGGGGGGGGGAAGGGGAGGAATTCAAGTTTCACCTGGTTCGTTAGGAGCAAGTTTGTAGGCTGATTTGGAATGGAGGGTTGGGGCTTAGAAGATTGGTGCCTTTCAATAAAGCTCTCCTTGGAAAATGGTTATGGAGTTTTGGGGTGGAGAGGCATTGGCTTTGGAGGAGGGTCGTGGTGAGCAGATTTGGGGATAGTAGAGGAGGGTGGTGGTCTCTTGAGGTGCGTGGTCCTAGGGGTGTGGCTGTTTGGAAGTTTATTCGACAGGGCTGGGTTGATTTTTTCAATAATGTACGGTTTTGTCTCAGGGATGGTAGGCGGATTAGTTTTTGGAAGGATGTCTGGTGTGGGGACATCCCTCTTGTTTTTGGTTTCCCTCGACTGTTCAGGATTGCTTCGGATAGGCAGGCCAGGGTGATCAACTGTTATCATCTTGATTATGGGAGATTGGTTTGGGATGTTCGATTCAGGCGTCTGTTTCAGGACTGGGAAGTTGACGATGCCATCCGTCTTCTGGAGGTGTTGTATCGGCAGGGTGTTATGGTCGGAGATTCTGATGATTGGATTTGGGCTCCCAATGCTCAGGGTCGCTTTGAAGTGCGGTCTTTCTTCAGGTGCCTCACTCAAGAGCCTGAAGGTCCTTTCCTGTGGAAGGCAGTTTGGTGTTCTAAGGCTCCTCTTAAGGTGGCTCTTTTTGCTTGGACCTCTGTTTTGGGAAAGATTTTGACTCAGGATAATTTGAGAAGAAGGAATCAGGTGGTGGTTAATCGGTGTTATTTGTGCCGTCATTGGGATTTGATGCTTGGCCTGTTTGGTTTTCTGTGGGGTCATGCCTGGCTCTTCTAGAGGTTTGATTGAGGCTTGGAAAGGCTGTTCTGTGGGGGCTCACATTCGAGACGCATGGAGTGCTACGCCTCTTTGTATTTGGTGGTGCAGTTGGCTTGAGAGAAACAAAAGATATTTTGAGGGAAAAGAGTCACCTATTTATGTTCTGAAATTCTCCATTGTTTCCTCTCTTTTTTGTTGGGTTTCGGGTAGAGATCATAGATCTATTGAGGACATTGTAGATTTTTTGGCCTCTTTGAAGGCTTAGTGGTTTTTGCTTCTTGCTGTTCCTTTGGGATGCGCTCCCCTTTTGAGCGTTTTTATACAATTTTTACTTATCAAAAAAAAAAAAAAAAATGGTATCAAATCAGAACATTTGTTGGTGTGCAAGGGCAATAAAATTGTACAACTGCGATAACTGATTCCATTACGTTGGCCTGTGTCCACATCGGCGGCTGTGTCAACGTTTTCAAACCATGGTTGAAACATGGACTGTTCATAGAACCAGGAAAGAGACTGTATTAAGGGTCATCTGTTCAACCACTGGATCAATTGGCGCTGAGTCGTGTCATACTGATATATCACTGTATATAATAATAGAAATAACTTAAAAATATGAGAACTTTCCAAACAATTATAAATTTTTGTTTCACTTTCATTATGACTTGTATAAATCTTTATAGTAGCATGACGCAAGGAAAAAAGGCAAAGCAAAATTTAGGACAGAGAAACATTGAATACCGGGAGTTTGATTGTCATCATAAACAAACAGTCCATGAGAGGAGAGTAAAAGAAGGTTTACATTCTTTTTCTTGTGAGAGGTATTCCCTGCCAGTCTATAGGAGGAGCTGCAGGATTCTGGTCAGGACATGGGTGGTGTGTTGTTATTATTAAAAAAATAACCATATTTACTCAGTAGAGAAACTAGTAATTCAGTGCATGTGAAATTATCTTCTGTTACAGAGATAAATAGACAAGAGTTGGCAAAATCTGTAATAGGTTACATGGGTTTGCTACTTGATGGACATTGCAGACGAACCTTATAAAATTGTATGCTTTCTATCGGGAAATGTTTTTTTGGATTTATAAAATATCTGAACTCGAACTCGGATTGTCTGGTTTGGGAAAGCACATTAATTCAGCATATAGTGTACAGAAATACAACTTCTATAAAAAATCTTTTTTTCATAGTAAGGTACCAACAGCAATTAGGACAGTAGGAGCATCAAATTACTTGGTGTTTCGTCAACATACATTATTGGATTTAGGATAAACTAAGTGCCATAATTTGTTGTTGGAAAATACATAAAGAGTATAACTTTTGAGAAGCATTTTGCTGAACCACTTCATCGTGTGATCAGAATCCAATTTTATGGAGCACTCTTTGCATCCCTTATGTATTATACCAGTAACAATTATAATATTTTACACACGCACTTTCTTTGTTGGAGATTGGGTGATAGAGTTGCTATATAATCTTGGCAGTAAGGAATAATGCATGATAGATAATACGAAATGTCAAGACCTTGTTGATTGATTTTTATTCTTATTAAAATTATTATACTTCGATTGCAGAGAAAAATGGAAAGGTGAAAATAGTAAATTTTGCTGGAGAACTACGACAAGTCTTGTTGGATAAAATGAATTTGAACCATTTAGTCCATGCCCATGTGATGACTTTTGTCTCCCATCAGGGCATGGTTCACTTTGATTAATATTGTTGTCTGAATTCCATGCATGCTAAAGTTGTTTAAGCTATGAAAATGTTGGTCATACCTAGTGTTGAAAATGGCATGTTCTTCTAGGTATAATGGATATTTTGATTAGAGAGAGATGAAAGGTGGAAATAGTTAAATTCATTGGACAATATCCACATATTTTGGTAAATGAAATTTAAATTTGTGAATATATTGTGATTTTTGTCTCCTCTTGTAAAAAATGTCTTCCTTGTTTAGCATTTTTTTTCAACTACAAATATTTTGAAGCTTTTATGCTTGGAACAAGTTCTTTTTGTTTGCTTTTCTTCTTCCCTTTTTAATTTGTCCTCTGTGCATTAATGTTTAATGTTTGTCCTCATTTTCTGTTTGCTTCTTGTAGACGACGTTCGAGGATGTCTTCCCAGCCGAGGCAGCAAGCGTTGAAGAATATCTGCAGCAGGTAATTTTCAATAATTTAGATGGTTTTTTTTTTATAAGTTCAATAATTTAGATGTTTGGGGACAATATAATATTAGTTGATGCTTTATCTCTTGTTATCTTGCACCTTTTTTTAGGGGGCTGAAATTTGGAGCATATTGTTTTCATCACACTTGCTTACCAAAAAATAAATATCAAATCATATTGATCAATGTCAAGAGAGTAGTATGTTTTCTGTTTAATTATGCGGCATATCCCAAAACACCTATATATTTGGATTTTAGTTCATTAGGAATTATAAAGACATGAAATAGAAGAATTTTTTAATTTTGATGGTTTAATTTGTTGTGAATTGCATAGACAAAGTAGGAAAACTACTATGTCATTCACATCACTTTAGCTTGTTGAATATTCACACTTGTTTAATATCACTGCTGAAGTTCCTTTCAGATACCTTAGGAAATTCTTTCTGTAACGATGTACTGTAGTTTGTTCTTTCTCTGCTTTCTTTAATGACTTTTCAGTAGCATCCATTATGTGAATGTTTTTTTTTTTTTTTTTTTTTTTTTTTGAAAAGATTTAGTTTTATGCTTTACCTTTGTATTTGCTATAGTTGTGACAAGGATCGCTTAGGCACATACTAGGCAATTTTTATACTTCATACATTTCTAGAAAATTTTTTCTTGGTTAACTTATTTTATTTTATTTAGTTAAGTAAACCCATCTATATATAACTCACTCACATATGATTCTATGTTCAGGATACTCCATACACAATTTTTTTGGACCCTACCAATTATTACCAGTCTTCTGGTCTCATAAGATCCAGGCATCAAACAAGCACCCAACTCGTACTTGAATCCATGCGAATAAATTTTATAGAGATTTGATGTGGCATCACGATCCCTTTATCCGTTTTATACTTGTATGAGCTGGATTATAGAGTTCTGCCTGCCGAAGGACACTTTCTTATGGAAAGCTTCCTCCTTTTTTTCCCAGTTCATGGTGCCTTGGAAATAAATTTGGTTTCTGTTGTGCTCTTTAGTTTGATGAGTTTTTGTGAGATTTTCCTCGTCTATATCTCTTTATTTTTAATCTCATTGCTTTTGCTTTTCAAATATATTGTTGTTTCTCATAAGTGATCCTGTATATGATTTTAACTTGTGCATGACGCAAGTGAAGATGAATGCTTGAAATATTGTCACTCTTTAGTGCCTTAACGAGCAGCTCAATTTCTAGAGTGTTCGGTTTCCTTTTTCCTGGTTCTGGCGGCATCCACTGGTGGATGGTTGTGGAATGGGCAGCACTAGGAACTATATGTTGCATTGGAAGAAACTAATTTTTATGCATCAGATGCAATGATTTGCGGAGAAAAGTTTTATCTTCTTTGCAGTTCAATCTTTTTGGGTGTACCATTGGTCGGTGCAATTGTACAAGCTCGAGTTGTTGAACATTAAAACGTGGATTTGACTATAAGGACAATCACTTGGAGGATTGATCTGGAACCAATCCACCCTTAGCAGAACACTGGGGATATGAGACCAGCATTGGATTATCTTGTATTTCATGTATATACGATCTGTAATATATGTATGGGATAATATTCATTCCCATACATATATTATATGTGTGAGTACCAAGTACGAAAAAAAAAAAAAAAATCGTTCATGTATTTTTTATGCATTCATGTTTGGTTTCCTTTTTTGGGGCAATAATTCAGCCCAAGAGATAAATGAATCTGCGTGCGTCCTGCTGGATGTGCGTACAGACTATATGCTATACCTGCAATGTTTGTTTTAAACATGCATTCTAATTTTTGGAATGTAAATATGGACCAATGTGTGCCAATCCAAGTTGACATGAGGTCTTTTAGTGCATGTATTTTCTCATGTTTATTAAACTATTTATGTTTGTAACCAGAATATAAAGTTCTAATAGTGGTATTATTGAAGTTCTGCTTTATCTATGTAACTACTTGTGAACTCAGAGATCTTAAGGGTGAAGCATTTGAGTGTTTTTGCAATTAGTTTTGGCATTTTGTTCATTACCAGTAAAATTTCATGGGTGGTTGTCCTCTGCACCATTGACACAGCTTTTCAGATTGGTTGTGTAATATTTATACGGATGGGTTCTCATGGCTGTCTCATTCGCAACACTGAGTATAATGAAAATTTGTTCCATTTTCCTTCCAACAATTTAAATAAAAATCAATTAGAAGGAAAGCGCAATGAATAAAATTACAATTCAATTCTTATTAGCGAGTGTAGTTTGAACTTTGAACTATTTAGCGCATCTTAATTGATTAACATATATGGAGAGAGAGCAGTGGAAGAGATTATGGAACTGGAAGGGGAAGAAACAAGCTTGATAGTACATGAGCTTTTGCAGCAAGATGGTAATGACTGGAACTGCAAGGCATATAGATGGCCTGGCTTTTAGAGTGAATGACAAAAGCCTAAATTAGTGTTTGCAAGGATGGCTAAACTAAGGTATCTTAATTTTTTTAGGGAGATTCTAGTAAATAAAAGTATAAAAGAGGTCGAACTGGTTGTCCTGACCCTGACTCAGACCCAAACCTTTGTTATGTACGTATCTCCAACCCACCTCCCAAGAAAAGGAAAGAAAAAGAAGATGAAAATCTCTTACCCATTTTAGTATCTTGGAAAACCATTCCAATTGGGGAGGGGCAGGTTACCCTTGGGACTGGGTATATTGTCATCTCTACGTGGTTGTGATTTCAGAGTGCTCAATGTTCTGATTGTATACATTCATCCATTTTCTTGCACATTCTTTACGTCTCAGCTCAAAGAACAGTTAGTAGACAGTACTTGATCATGTTATATTGCAATTTGTGTGCCGCAGGTCCATGAGATGGCAATGGTCTCAGCTGTCCAGGAAGCTCAGAAGGATAACCTTAGAAGTTTTAATGATTATATGATGAAGGTTTTGGAGGTTAGTGTGTCACAATATGTCCATGTGATATTTTTGATCCTTATTTCTCTACCTTTACCTATTTCCCTCAAAGTTTCTGTATATTGGCTTGTTAGTTACTTAGCTAGTTATAGTTATTCAGTTCGAACATCAACTTGATTATTTTTATTGGCTATTTCATTTTTTAAAATTAGTTATTAAGTGCTGTCTTTGTAAGTCAACTAAGTTCCTCTCAGCAAAAAAATTGATTTTATAATTATAAACTTCTTATCCAGTTTTTCATTATCATTTCGTGAAGTAGGATCTAGTGAAATGGTTTTTCACTTGTTATATCTGTGCATTCATTTTTGATTTTGTTCTATAATTCTTGAGTTTTAATAAATGTTTCTTTATCTTGTCATTGCAGTCTGAAGGCTATAGATAGCTTATTCTGAACACACTGATAATTTATGAAATTCAGTAACCTTAAAAAATGAAAAGCTTGCTATTGTAAATTAGTTTGAAAAAACAAATTTGAGAGTCCTTTTACACCTATTAAAGTTTTGGTGCCTTGCCACATTAATCTGCTGAAATATTGTCTGTGAAAGAAATCCGAGTGCTTCCCTTCTGGAGTGGTGGTAAAAATATCCCTACTTCAAGAGCAGATTGGATGGATTGCAGTATGACCAGCTCTATTTCTTTTGGCATTGTTAGCACTATGAATTACTATCTGAGATGCATAATTAAAGGGCATTGCATTCCAGTATTGATAGTTAATAACTGATTGATGAAAATTTTTGTGCCTCCATCATTATTACAGGAGGATTGGCAAAAGCAAAAACGGGGCTTCCTTCAGAACCTGAGCCGAATTTCAACATTACCGCGGACTAACATGGGTCTTTCAAGCACCGAGGGTACTCACCTCGGTCAAATAGCGTCTGTGACTTCTAGTCCTCAGGTTTCATCTAGTCCAACTGGCATGGAACATACTCCACTGGCTCATAAGCCCGTCCTTGAGAAAAAAGCTGCAGCTTATGCTGAAGTTGTGAAAAATCTCAACAATGCAAGAGAACGTGGCTTACCATTTAAAGTAAGGCATGATTTTATATTTGTCACTTTGAAGTTGGTCCAGATAAAAACATTTTCCTTTTTGTATTTCCGTCTTTCCTCAGTTCTTCAACAATGAAGCTTCATAGAGGTCTGATTACTATAAGCGAAACTTGATGATAGACTAACTGATTAATATCTATAATATATCAATGTTTTGATGTGACAAGCTATGGTGTCATGTTGGTGGTGTTTTTTGGAGTCCTGCTGACAATTCTTTAGTGCTAAACTTAGATGCATGCTAATGTCAAGTGTTATCTGCCCTTTTTCCATTCCTCTTGAAGTTATTGTGCATTAGTCACCCTGTTAATGTTGGCTACTGTGTCTATGGTTGTGACTCATGATTGCTCAAGTCAAATAAGTGAATTTTGAAAATTTTGTTAGATGTATGATCAATTTACTATTTATTTTCTTCTTATTAGCCTGCTACAGCCTTCAAGGGTGCTTATGAAAGTTTGGGTGTTGATGCAACTGGTGGAAAATCAGTTAGTATGCAGAAGATTTGGCACCTAATGCAGGTATACTTTGCATTTATATGTTTTTTCACTCTTATATTCTAGTGCAAAAACTTATGATTGCAATTTCTTCCTCTCTTTGTAAAGCTCATAATGCAATTACTTGTGTATGAAATTATGAATTGAATAATTCAACAGACATTGATGGGTGAGGATACAAATGTTCAACGGAATGTTTCGAGAAAAATGTCTTTAGTTGTTGGGGCAAGGCGCCATCTCGAATGGGGACATGAGAAATATATTATAGAAACAATACAAAGTCATCCAGCACAGGTAATAAGTTAGTTTTAATTTCTCATCTACTGAGTTTGGTTCTAATCTGCCTTCATATTGTATACTCCTAATGTATAATTGTGTTGCTTATTTTAATTATTTATTTGGTATTGACTAAAGGAGCTTAGCTTTGTAATGGTCATTCTTTGCCCTTTTATTTTTTTAAGCCAAAAAAATTAACATGTATTTCTTGGTCATGTTCTGATATCATTTTAGGCGGCTCTTGGTGGGGCAGTTGGAAATTTGCAAAGAATTCGCGCCTTCCTTCGGGTTTGTCAGCACATTTTTATATTTAGGCATTAAAAATTTGCGTGTGGCACTCAGGGGGCCTGTTATATTATATTTGAGGATTATTTATTTATTTCTTATGCTAAATGTTTCTTTCATTGCAGATACGTTTAAGGGATTATGGGGTTCTAGATTTTGATGCAGGAGATGCTCGTAGGCAGCCACCTGTGGATACCACTTGGCAGCAGGTTTGAGTACTTCTGAGATTACATCTTTTGCTTGCATCATGCAAGCATTTGTTTCTTTTTTCTTTTCCTTTCTTTTTTTTTTTTAAAAAGAAAAAAGAAAGAAGAAAAACTTGTATAATATTTGTTAATTGTTGATTGGCCACTCTAACCTTTGATGTTTAAGTTTGTAATGAGATGTAAGCAAGTAAACAAACTTTCTATGTAACATTCTATGATTGTGGTTCCTGAAATTACATAATACTTCATATATATATATATATATATATATGCTGCTCATTCTTTTGTTCATGTTTTTGAAACGTGGATGCACTCACTTTCCCCACCACCAGAGGAAAAAAAAAAGGTAAAATCATTTTTCAGTTATAAGAACCGGAGAAATTTTTTGCCGAGCATCATTGTAAATAAATTGTCTAGTATTTCTTTGCTGTTCTTGTAATGTTAAAAGATTAGCCTTTTTGTAGCTGTGTATCTTCTTCTTCTTTTCTGCCTTTCTTGTTATGATGGTGAAAAGACTGGTTTTATGTGTGTGTACGTGTGTGAGTGTGAGGTTGGCGTTCTTTTTTTTCTGAAACAAGTGACCTTTACTCCTTGATTTCTTGCATTGATGGGTGATAAAAAGCACTTGGACTGGGGTTTGCTTGTAAACATCCAAGTCTGCTGTTCATTTTAGTTTATTTCATTCTTTCTCAAGGCGAGGTTATTTGTTTTGTTTTTCTTCTCTACTGAACCTTCATATTGTTACATCATAGTAATGTCGTAAGATACTAAGAAAGAAAATTGTCATGCATGCTTTTTAGATTCTAGGCTTGCTACTTGTTTACCATTATGTAAACAAAGGCTCATTTATTAAAGCACCATCATATAAGAAGAGAAAACATTACTTAACTTGTTTATGGTTATGTTGAACCTATTTTGTGGTTTCCATTGATAAGCATATATTAGGAAATCGGCTCAAACTAACTCCTATACTCTGTTCTGTGTTACGACAGATTTATTTTTGCCTGAGAACTGGTTATTATGATGAAGCGAGAAATGTTGCCTTGTCATCTCGTGTTTCACACCAATTTGCTCCTCAGGTACTGGATTTTTTAATTTGTACATGAATGATTATTCAGCCATAATCATTATCTTTGTACTTGACAGCTTACAGAGTGGATCACTACTGGAGGTATGGTATCTGCAGAGACTGCAGCTGCTGCTTCGGAAGAATGTGAAAAAATGTTAAGGACGGGTGATAGAGTGGGTCGAGCTGGATATGACAAGAAAAAATTACTACTATATGCTATCATATCTGGTTCTCGCAGGCAGATTGACCGTCTGCTTAGAGAATTGCCTTCAATTTTTAATACGATAGAGGATTTCTTGTGGTTCAAATTGTCTGCTGTACGAGACTGTCCTGCCAGTTCCTATTCTGTTGTCCTGAATGAGGGACTGTTACCCTACAGTTTGGATGATTTGCAGGTATACCTAAATAAATTTGAGCCATCATATTATACAAAGAATGGAAAGGACCCTCTGGTATACCCATATGTTTTGCTTTTAAGCATCCAGTTGGTACCAGCAGTCCTGTATTTGTCCAAGGACGTGGGAGATGAAGGATATAACATAGATGCTGCCCATATATCAATTGTGCTGGCGGACTATGGGGTCCTTTCTGAAGGTGCTGGGGCAGGGCAGAAACTGGGGTTGATGGATTCTTTTGCAGAAGCATCTAACATAATCAGGCAGTATGGGTCAGTGTATTTACGTCATGGTAATCTTTCAATAGCATTGGAATATTATGCACAAGCTGCTGCTGCAGTGGGTGGTGGACAGTTGTCATGGAGTGGGAGAGGTAATGTAGATCAGCAAAGGCAGAGAAGCTTGATGTTGAAGCAACTCCTTATGGAGGTCTTATTATGGGATAGAGGTATTTATCTTTTGCTTGGTCCAAGAGGTGCTGGAGAAGAAGGTGAGGTGGGGAGGTTTTTGACCACTGTACAAACAAGACAACAGTTTCTTCTTGAAGCTGCTCACAAGTGTCAGGAAGCTGGGCTTTATGACAAAGTAACTCTTCTTTCCTTCTCTTCTTTTATGGCTTCAGTGCAAGATTGCGTATAAAATCAGGACTTTGTATAGGCCCTTTAATATATGTTTTTGTTGTATTCCTAGATACACTTGCTCATCTTTTTTTTTTTTGGTTTCCTTTTTGATACGCCTCCTTTTCCATCTAACATGGGTTTAACTGGTGTGAATAGATTGACTATTTCGATTTGTTAGGTTTTAAGTTCTACATATTTTCTAATTCTCTTTCAAAAGTGACAAATGGGGGAGAAAATGGTTTTTACTGAAGAGGCTTATAGCAACATTTATCTTGAAAGATATATTTAGGTGGTTTTTCTTCCCGGGCTTACCTGATGGATGTGGTTTGCTTGTGCATCTATGGGATTAGTCTTGACTCAAAAGGGGTTGGTGGCAGCCCAGTGTAAGCCCCAAAAATCCCTCCACAATTCTCAATTTTGTCTTCACCTTGCAGGAGAGTTTGTTATCTTGAAAGATATATTTAGATGGTTTTTTTTCCCGGGCTTACCTGATAGATGTGGTTTGCTTGGGCATCTATGGGATTAGTCTTGACTCAAAAGGGGTTGGTGACAGCCCAGCATAAGCCTCAAAAATCCCTCCACAATTCTCAATTTTGTCTTCACCTTTCAGGAGAGTTGGTTATTTAATGGAATGAGGCGCAAAGCAATACCGCTCAGAAGGAAGTCTTGGCTGCTCTCAGGGCCATAAAGGAACTAAAGGAAAGCCTTTTGACAACCTTACTAATAGAAAGGGGATGCACTCAAACATGCGAAGAATTTTGAATATTCTATTTGTAATTGGTTAGAGTGAAGAAAACCACGTTCCTAGTGAGCTTGCTGGTTGGCCAGTTGCACCTTGCCTCTTCAGCCCACCTTTGACAAATTGTTCATCAAGTTGGTAGTATACATGACCCAATCATGACTGATTTATAGAAAAAATGCTAATTAATGTTTGTAGAACTCATCTTACTGCTTTCTCTCCTCCAACCCACTTTTTCTTGAAAAAATTAAGTAACCATTGTCAAATTAAAAAGCAGCTATTTTCTTCAACATTTACAATTTAATAAATTGTGAAAGCCACCTGTTGTTTTCTACATTCCTTATTAATTTCAATGTCTCTTTTTATGATTTTTTGTTATCCCCTCCCTTCCTCTGCCACTTTTTTTGGGTACTATTGATTTTAGTTATTAGTTATTAAATACCCATTTCATTGATATGTTTGTTCATTGGTTTTGTGTTTTCTCTTCTTCCCTTCGTTCACCATCAAAATTCAGTCTATAGAAATTCATAAGAGAGTTGGGGCATTTTCAATGGCGTTGGACACAGTAAATAAATGCCTCTCAGAAGCAATCTGTGCCCTTTCACGCGGTAGATTGGATGGTGATAGCCGGACTGCCGGTCTTATTCTTTCTGGAAATGAGATCCTGGATGCATATAAATATACTTCTGAAGCTGAAATGAGGTAATTTCAAAATTCTGCTTTTACCTTGTCTTTTTTTGGAGCAGTATTTGCTTGAATTATTACCGCCTGATTTGTTATGGATTCTTATAGTAGAGATTGTTGTCAATGTAAGTTGCAACCTTCTGAAAACTGAGAGGCTTCAATGCAAAAGCTTATGTTGGAATGGATTGGCGATCTCAAAGAATGTTTTCAGTTGGATTCCGTTGCTCAAGATTCTTTAACCCTTTTGTTGGAAGTCCTGAATCATTTCCTAGATGTTATATATTTCTCAAAGCGCAAAGTTATGCATTTACACCCACTTCAAATGTCTTTGACTTGCTTCTCCTTCTTCGTCTTGTATTTTTTTTTGGAATAATTCTTATAATTTCTGTCACTTTGTTGATACCATCTTCCTCGCTATTTCATTATTTTTTGTGCAATTAATTCCATATCTAGAATTCATTCTTGTCATTTATTTTTGAACTGTAGGAAATTTTAAATTGTTAGAAATGTCAAAAGTTTCTGAAATTTGAGAATGATAACATCTACTCAGCTCAACTCAGCAAAGTCTTTTCCCTATTAATTGGGGTTGGCGGATTCTATTTTTCCATTCTGCTCTTTACTCATATTCTTAGGATTCATGTTCATATTGGTCCTCACAAAAGTTTTACATCGTCTGTCAAGGTACCTAATACAACCCTCTTCCTTTTTGTTGGCTTGGGAGAGGCTGTGATATTGGGTAAATTATATGGGTATAAATTATGCGATTCCTTAATTTGTTGCTTATGCTTCATGGAATTGTTCGTAATAAGATAGCGGCTACACGTATCTTGATTATGCTTCATGGAATTATTCGTGAGAAGATACTGGCAACACATATCCACTGTCATAATATAGATTGTGTTTTTGAAAAAGTTTCTTTTCTTCATGTTAAGCTTTCTAGCCTAGGGATCTTATGCCTGAAGGTTCTTGAGTTGATCTTTGCTTGGACTAAAAATCATTTCATTATAACATGCAGTTCTCAAGAGAGAGAACATGTTTTAGGGCAACAAACTGTGTTGAGACAGCTTGAAGCAATATTGTCTATCCATAAGTTGGCAAGAGTGGGCCATCATGTAGATGCTCTAAGGGAGGTTGCCAATCTTCCATTTCTTCCGTTAGATCCACGACCACGAGCACCAGATATTGCAACTGATGTGTTCCAGAATTTATCTCCACATGTCCAAGCTTGTGTGCCGGACCTTTTGAAGGTTGCTCTTCATTGTTTGGACAATGTCTCTGATTCAGACGGATCTCTTCGTGCCCTGAGGACCAAGGTATAAGCTTTCTGTTTTATTTGTTTGATGTGGATGGACCTTAATTTTTTAACTTGTTGCTATTTGGGAATTGCTTATTGTCGGGCATAATGACCGGGTTAATGTTCTTTTAGTCTTCAAGGAAGTTCGAACTACATTAATGTGCCCGTGAAGCCAAAGTGTTTGATGATATTTAACATTTGTCACTCGTGGAAACTGTCTTAACTCATGATGCTAGTTAACATTTGTCACTCGTGGAAACTACTGTCTTAATTCAGCTTGATGAACTTGCTACATTTTAGTGCTGAACGAGGTCTACAACTATTCAAAGAGTACATGTCTTAGATTAAGTGTAATGGACCAAGTCATTTATATTATTGTATAAACAGATATTTTATTCTGTTAAATTATGTTTTAAAGAACAAAGAGAACAATATATATATTTTTATTTCCTTCTTCATAACTATTCACTAAAATCAGCATTCTCTGCATTTATGACCTAATATTATAACAGAGATATTTCATTTTATTATAAAACAAAAGAATCATGTTTATATGTACAAGTACATGTAATTTCTTAGACACAAACATCCATTGTACAACTAATTTAAATGTACTTTCAAGCAGTGAATAATCTTGGACTTGTTATAGTTGACATGGGTGCTTAGAGACCATCATGGAAATGATAATGTTTCATGCTTAATTCTGTATGTCCAATTTGGATTAGCCTCTTCATTTGTCCTACTTGTGTACAAATATTTTTTCCATCCTCTTTGTATCTTTCATCATTAAACGTTTGCTTTGATGGACCAACTCAATTTATTTAAATCTGTATTATAGAATAATGTGATTAATCCTGGATCTGGTTTCTAGTGTGTGTGCATGCATGATTAATCTTTGTTTTTGACCTTTGCAGATTGCGAATTTTCTTGCCAACAATTTGAATAGGAACTTCCCTCGAGATTTGTATGAAAAGGTTGCTCGAAGCTTGTGAAGCAAATCTGTGTAGTGTGTCCAGGACGGCTTGTTAAGGAGATTCATGGTGAATGTATCATTTTTGTATAGAACTGAAAATTGTTTTAAGTGTTTCTATGATGCCATTTTTGTTGGTGAATTTAACTGGGGAAGAAAGTTATGCTACTACTTGCGGGAACTTGTACTTCACATGTATGTTGCACTCTCAAGTCTCCCTTCACACAAACACACACACACATATGAAAAGATATATGCATATATATATATATATAGGGACTTGCTTTGAGGATTGCTAGTTGCACTTATGCACAGCTCTTGAAATGAGGAGGAGAATACTGACTCATACATCGTGTTATATATCATTTTAGGAATATATCATGTTTTTCTAATGAAAAATGCTTTTTCGAAATGAAAAAGCATCCAAGGCCATGGGTTAGTGGTATCTCCTCTCTTTTCAGGTATCTCCTCCTTTCAAAATGAAAGGGTAGAAAAGGTAGAGGGTTTTTGAGTATGAGAAAACCGTCATAATCAAGGTTTATTGTACTTAATCTCCTCCCATCAATTTCAAGGTTTGCTGGTAAAGAATCGGACTGGTAACTTCAAAAAATTTACCGTGCACAAAGAAAAAGCTGGTTGTAGAAGGGCATGAAGTGAAAGCTTTAATGAGTGAATTTAACTTTACAGATGAATTTATTTATTTAAAACAAATTCCGGGCTGAACTCCACTATATTTTAATGAATCTATTGAACTTGGATTGAACCTGTAAATCTTGATTTAATAAAAATGATTTAAGTTGAATCTCGAATTTGAGGCCGTTGATGGTCATTGATTTATTAAAAAAGATTTAAGTTGAATCTAGAATTTGAGGCTGTTGATGGTCATTGATGGGAACTGGGGACACAGGTTAGGAGTTAGAACATATGGTGGGGAGAGAAAGCAATGTTCTTCATTAAGGTCTGTTTGGCTAGAAAGAAAATTTTATGAAAAGTGAAAATGAAAGAAAGGAAATTCAAGTTTCCATTGTGCATTTGGTTAGCAGGAATTTTTTTGAAAAAAGTTGTGAGAAATAATTATTTTGTTAGTTTGGATGGTATGAAAAGGAAAAGAAAATGATTTTACTTACAGAAAAAACTCTTATAATTTTAAATAGTAAATAAATAAATAAATGTATGTTAGATGAATATTATTTATATTTAATTATTTATTTTAGGAAGGAAACAATGAAATATGGAATAGAATAAATAGTACGTGATATCATGATACAATTTTTTTTGCTTTCTTCTCTCTCTTTGTATTCACTTGTCGTGTAGACTTGAATTCTCAATCTTTTATCTTAAAGAAAAATAAGCTTTTGGTAAGGTGGACAATCAAATTCAAGAATTTGTTTTCTCTTTTAGGTTAATTTTTATTTTTATTATTTATTATTTATTTATAAATGATGTAATTGAATACTCAGGACTGATAAAATTAAAAGGCATGGATTCATTTCTGGGTCTGGACCCGAGGGCCTTTTTTTTCTCAAGAGGTGATTTCGAGAATCAACCAACCGAGAAAGATTTCACCCGAGTGAGTCACAGCCCCCTATCACCCAAATTCAATGGGATGAATTTAAGGCGCAGCGAAGCCAAATTCCATCACGGCAAGGCTTTCCTATGTTGTCTTCTTTGTTTTAGTCTGATGGGGGAGTCCGAGGTTCGTCTCCTGCGTGTGTTTTCTAGCCCCGAGGCACCATTTCCCGTCGGAACATCCATATATTCTTTAGATTGCAGGTTGACTTTATAGGAACCTCATACTAATCACGGTACCGTATAATTGACGTCACCACAAGCAAAAGACTCGGATTTCTTAGATTGATCATGTATACGCCACTGAAGTTTTTCTCTTTTCTTTCTTCTAATCTTTGTGTTAAGATAATGTAGACCACTCTTGCTATCAACAAATAGTTACGTATATATATAATAACTCTTAATCATTATCAATTATAGAAAAAAAATATCTTACTTATTTCAGAGATTTCACAAAAAAAAAAATCAATAATAAAAGAAAAAAATTAATTAATTTTGGATGCACACATCAAAAAAATACAAACAATTAAATTAGTAATATTTGATTATATAAAAAAAGTAATTTACAAAAGAAAGAAACTCTCATTTCTCAAGATAGTTAATTAAGTGACGAAAAAGATAGACAACTAACATGGATATAATAGGAAAATAAAATAGAAAATGCACAACTTTTGCGAGAAAGTGAATTTTTATGAGTTTTTTGCATCTCAAAAATTTTGAGAAATATTTTTAGATGCGGAATCCTACTTTTCTAAAAATTTTTACTTTTCCTCTTATCAAACTTTCAAAAAGTTTAAATATTTTCTTTTTCTTTTCTTTTCTGGTCACTTGACACTAACCAAACATACCCTTAAGAAAACAGTGTTTAGCTTGTTATATATAAAAAAAAAAAAATGGAGACGGTGTGTAGCTAGTGTTTTCCAATGAAGCACTCTATTATTTCATAAAATGCTCATGCTTTGAACCACTCCTGAAGTAATTAAGTCAAAATGTTGAAAGAATGTAATATAATTTTTGTTTAAAAACTATTTCGTATTTATATTCAATTTTGATGATTGGATAGAATTAACCTAGTTTGATTTTAACGTGAGATTAAATCGATTTTCAATTCAAAATTTTCATTTCAAATACAATCATTTGATTCAGTTTATTTTTATTTTTATTTTTATTTTTTTAAATATTGAGAAACATTAGGTATAACGTTTATAAATCATAAAATTAGAAAAATTGAATATGAATTGCATAGTCATATTCATATTTATAGATCCGACCATGTAAATTTAACTGGGATAATTAAAACGATATGCTATTCTTTTTCTTTTTCTTTTTTATTTTTCTTATTTTTATTTTTTTTAATGTAATGGGTTCCATTCAAATAAAAGCAAATTTAATTGTGCGAACGTGGCTTAACCTGAATTTAATAAACGTTAGGTATTGATGAATTGCACAACTCTTGAGTTGCACCTTTTGGGTTGCAAATTACCCAAACTTTTTGACTCCTTGGATTAATTTTCTCAATCGACCCTAGTAAATGTACTGAAGAATTTCACTATTTCAGCCGCTGTAGAGAGAGGCTTTTGCCAGTGTATCAGCCGCTCCATCCTTCTGGCCGCCACCACCTGTGACCAAACCCTACGGGACACATCCGCCGATGATTTCTGCGGTATCGTATATAGGTATTTCTGTTTTCCCCAACTTCTAAATTCCTTCAAACACTTCTTTTCTCATCCCTTTGTTGCTGCTAGTACTAGCAATCTTGATACTGATTCTACCCGCTATATGTATATAAGTGAATACATATATATGTATCCATGCATATTTATTTGTATATATGCTGCTCCTGTTACGAAAGGTACCGACTTTGATGATCCTCTTACATATCCGATTGTCATTCTTGTTATGAAGAGGACTTGATTTCTAGCATTGAAGAATAGAAGATTGAGAATTAATTTCAGTGATAGACCCACCTTTTCTTGTGTCACTGACACTGACAAAGCATTAATAGATGAAAGTTTTTTCTTTATTTAATTTTATTTACTTATTTTTCTGGTACTCGAGTGCCAACCTCTGAAGTGATACGTGCCTCACAATTCCTGGTGAGAAAACTACATCTATTGTCTCAAAGAGCATTACAGCTAAGCTTTGTACAATCTGGGACTTGTTGAATTAATTCTTGCAGAGTGAAAATGTGTTTTTTTTTCAGGGGGCGAACTGCCATCAATGCTGTCCCCTTTAAGATGGCCTAAAGAGATGGCAGTCTGAAACGAGGCTATCCAAAGAGTCCTTGAGGAAATTACCCTCTTGAAGGAATAATGCCTTGATCTAGTTGCCATTGGAGTCACAAAGGACTATCTAAATTGATTTGTTTATGCCGATAAGCTCAAATTGCATCATAGGAATTCCAAAAATCCGTATGGGGGTATTTTGGATATTGGACAATTCAAAACTGCTAGATGCTAAGTGGCCAGCTAATTGCTATTACGCCTCATCCCTAGTCCACTTTTCATTTAAGGTGCTACAATTACTTGCCCTATGATCTATAGATATGACCACAAATGGTAAAAAATAATTGATACTCTTATCCAAAAATTATGGTTAAAATCTGTGTTTTTGTTTTATTTTTCTTCTAGCCATGAATAGTCCTTTTGATACTTGCATTTTACTGCTGTTTCCCATTTTCAGGTTACAATGATTTTTAACTTGCTCTTAAATGGTTGATATGAAAGTTATATGGTCAGTAATTGGTATAATGGTGGTTGAGGATTGGACCAGTTCTTCAGGAGAAACAAGTGATTCTGAGGTGTATGTGCAGGATACGAATGATGAAGAACATTGCTCTACATCTGGTGATATACCTAGGTTGCAATTTAGGTAGAACTTCTAAAGCAAAGGCTTCTTGGAAAGTTGGTCCAATGATAAAACTTACTACTGTGTGTATTGTTTTCCTTAGGAAAGATGTATCGAAAGCACGGTGGAACAACGAATTAGGCATGGCTGAGGTTGTGGAGAAAAAGGGTCGAATGTGGACAACTACTGGATTAGTTCGTAGCCGCAGGACCTATTGCTCAGTTGAAGAGACTTTGTAGGTGATGCATTACTTTGTTGTGGTTCTGACTCTCTTATCATTATTGGTACGACTTGGAAGCTGTTCTGTATTATATTTTATATTCTATAATTGTAAGTTAACAAGGAGGATCTTGTTTTTGTATTATTCTTGCCTCTTGGATATGTACTTAATATTTTTCTTTTGCTCATTGATTATGAGCAAATGACTTTACAGTTAGATAGCTTCACCTATGAACAAGGACAGTGTCACTCTTTGAAAGAGTGAAGGTCCTCAATATGCTGTATAATATCATTTTTTTCCGTTTGTGAGACACGCATTTGTCATCATCTTTTTCTTTTTCTCTCTGTACAGTAGGGATATCATATAACTATTACTGTGATCTTGGAGCATATTATAGTATTCAAATTTTACAACAATAACTATATGTTCTAATTAATTTGTAAATATCGAGCCTAGTGATATCTCCCCCTACCTTCTACAATGGTAGGTGTAGGGTTCAGGTCTCATTAGGGACAAAAAGTGGGTGTGTGAGAGCTACTTGCGATGGTAAAAAATAAGATATTAATTTGAAATTTTCCATTAGATCCATTTATTTTTTGTTTCCCAATGCCTTTTCCAACGGGAAGATGCAGGCCCCAATTAATTTAAATGAAGGGGAGGAAGCTAAGGAGATAACAGAGGATATTGGATTAAAACTTCAATAAATGTCACAAGTTTATATTCTATGCTTTACTTTGAAAGAAAAAAAAAAAAATTCACTATTGTTATAGCTAGCCTCAAATCAAGTATGAGCCGAGTCATTCTGGTCAAGGAAATTTACTTTCAAACAGTGATTCTAGCCAGGTATGAGCCGACTCAAATCAATTTAAAAACTTCATTTTTTGTTATATTGTTGGTCAATTCTATAAATCCAGCTGCCTTATTGACGAGTAGTATGCATTAAACATAATTGAAGTAATTATGCATAGGACCTGTAACACAGCATTATATAGATGAATATTAATTTGCATGGAAACTTGGGACAGTTTTTCCAGAGCTTGATTAAAGACATCAAGTCCCGAATACGATGCATAAAACTAGAAATTGGTAATACACGGGTCATATGAAAAGGTAGTATTTAAATGGTTACATTATTTTCTTTTTTGTATTTTTAAAGTATCTTAATATTTTAAATGATAGAATAATGCTGTAAATTATTTTATAGTCTTTTGGTTCAGCAGAGCTTATAGATCAAACAAGCATTAATCTTATTGGAGTAATTTTTTTCTTTTGCAAGGTGTTGATGTAAAGTACCTTAATTTTACAACAAGAGGAATAATAAATACATATTAGTGTAGCTTTCTTCAACTCCAATACATATTCTCCTAATCGTATCTCACATCTTGTTCATTCATGATATTCCAAGATCCCTTTATATAAAAATTTAAATTCCAATTGGCCAATTGTACCTCAAATGAGTTTAAGTTCCACCATTTAACGCGGGTTTCTTCCTAGTTAATTAATGAACAAATATAAACATATTGTTGTATTAGGAAATAAATTATTGCTCTCTTTTGTTAAGTTATTGATTTTAATAAGTTAAATCTATATATGCAGTGGAATGGTAGAGAACCAAAACTAAAGGGTGTAGCTAATGCTAAATTGATTAAATTGACGCAAATATTTTGATTTATTTAGCGTCTACCTTTTTTACCTCCTCCTCTTTTACTTCGAGACAAATAAAATGTTCAAAATAGTTCTGAGCACAAAATTTCAAACTTGAAAACTATTAGAGTGTATCAAAGGGTTGTGTTATTAGTTAGGAAATTGGCAACTCATTTAGGTGTTCATGTTAGTTGTGATACGTGTTTAAAAGTATATCTCCTTTCTTAATGTTGTACGAGTAACATATTTGGTTTTTCTTGCAGATTTTTGGCCGAAATAGGGGCATTGCATCTCTTGCATGATGATGACACATCCCTTCCCCTAAAAGACATGTATAAGAAGGTTGCAGAAGGAAAGAGCGGATGTTGTTGGGAGTCCTTTGAGGTTTATAGGCACTTGCAATCTCTTGGTTATATTATTGGGCGGCATGGTATCCCCTGGACTATGAAAAGTGTTAAGAGTAAATCTGTTTCTCTTCAGGCCATGCCAGAAATTAACGGGATTATGGGGAAGGAATCTGAAGACAAAAATCTCATCGTTGAACTGTTTAGTAATATGCAGATTAATAAATTCAGAACAGTTTTTGATATTTACTCTCCTAACAGTAAGTTTAGAAAGTCTTCTCCGGGCAGTCCAAGTTTTGTGCTTTGCCTAACGAGGTAAGCGATTTCATAACTCCCATATGAAGATTTTGTTCTACTGTGCTTTATAATATTGGATCAGCCCAATTTTTTCCTGTGTTTGATGTAGCATGAATATTTTGTACATGTGTGAATTAAATTCACACATACTTAGAAGTTTTTGGATGTTTTTGTTTCCGTATAGATCAATAGCTTGTAGATGAAATAAATATGCAGTAGTCCATGAATTCATTCAGAGGAAAAGTGGGTTATTTGTTTATATTTACTTTTTGAGCCTTTACCTGTTGATTGAAGAATGACCACTTGCACCGTGTTTCACACATTCATTTGGCAGGAGATATGCATGTATTCTTTGTGAAGAGAGCATCTGATTACTGTACTAGTCTTAAACTTAACCTTTTCTGGCAAAAAGTAGTTTGACCATATGCAAATGAGGCCTTAAATTAGAGATATTGAAGTTTTCTGCTGAGATATCAACAATATAAGAACTGCATTACGCTAATGCTGCGCTTGGTGTGCATGAATGGAATGGAATGCCTATTCCAACCATTTCTTTGTTTGGTATGCAATTTAAAGTGGAATGGTCATTTTATTGGAATGAAAATCCATTCATGGGAATGAATTCCACAACTAAACCTATGGAATGACCATTCCATTTCCAAGTAATTTTTTTAAAAAAATTAACTTCCCAAAAAATCCTCTTGTTTCAAGTTCAAAAATCACCACTACCTTATACCACAACCACCTCCGCCTTTCACCACCACCACCACCGACTTCCACTGCCACCACCGCCATCAACTTTCATCACCGCCCATTGCTTTCCATTACCACCACCGTCACTGCCTTTCACCACCGACACCGCCTTTCTTTGCTGCAACCACCACCACCACAGCCACCGCTTTTCATCACAGCCACCACCTTCCACCACCACCGCCTTTCACCACCGCCACCTTTCACCACCGCCATCGCCTTTCAACACCACCACCGTCACCTTCCACCACCTTCCACCGCCACTGTCACCTTCCACCACCTTCCACCTCCACCACCACCGCCACTGCCTTCCGCCACTACCACCACCGCCACCTCCACTGCCTTCCATCACCACCACCTACACCACTATCTTCTTTCATCACCACTACCACACTACTGCCATTGCCTTCCACCAACACCACGGCCGCCGCCGCTGCCTTCCAATACCACTACCTTTTTTCACTTCCACCACCATCGTCACCACCATCCACTACTGCCACTGCGACCATTTATTTTTAAAAAATTATAGAAGAATGTCATTTTGTTATTTTAATTTATTTACTACTAAGAGGGATATTTTGGAAAACTCAATTTGAAATTTGTTCTATTTTAAATTTTAAATTGTTCCAACCAAATACTAGAATGATTATTATCATTCTATTTCTTACACATTTCATATTTACAACCAAACAAAATATAGAATGAGAATGTGTCATTGCATGCTTGACTTGCATTGACCATATGTATAATGTCAATTTTAACTTTGGTCACTTTGAAGTGTGTGCATATCGTTTCCAGGACTATTGGGCGTAGCTGCTCTTAAGATGTATTCTGTGTTATTTGAAACTTGTGCTGGAGAGTGTCTAAGATGTATCTGTGTTTGGGGTGTACCATTCGACTCAATTAAATTAATCCCTTCTTATTGTTGTTGTTGTTGACTTGTGTACGTCAACCTGCATTCTTGTCAATTACTCTCGAATCAATGATGACTTGCTTCCTCTTGTAGTTGTCATCCGCCATCCAAACCAGAGATTGAAGACCTTGAGAGACGGTACAGTGACATTCCTTTGAAGGTCTGTCATGTTGACCATGGACGTGTCAATTTTTTCTCCTTCAACAGAGTGGAGCTTCCTGCTCTTCCTTGACTTGCCTGTGCGGATGGAGTTCTGCGGGATGAGAAAAGAAAAGAAAAAAAAAAAAAATTTAAATTAAACATAATTGGAGCTGCAACTTCAGAAAGCTTGATGCCTAAATTTTGGTATAACTTATTGAACTTTAGATTATACACGAATCGTAATGTTAGATAAATAGAGATGATTGTTCCAGTGTTTGTGCATGAAGCTATCTGTCTGCAGGCATTTTTCTTTTTGTGTTTTTCCTTTTTCCTTTGTTCTTTTGTGCATAGTTATTTTCTGTTGGATGGCGTATTTTGGTTTTGTGTTCCTTTTGATTTCTATTGGGAAAAATTAAATAGCAGCTTGCAGGAAGTTGTTGACCCATGCAGGAACTGGAAGCCTATTAATCCAGTTAATAAATTTTTCTTTGTCCACAATTTTCCCTTAAGACATGGATGAATTTTATCTCCTTGCCTTCTTTAGTATGTTATTCATTCATATATTGAAAGAGAAAAAATTGGTAAGCTGAAGTTGCAACCATTTTGTTTTGTTAATGCGAAAATGTCTCTAATTTGCTTCAACTTGTTAGCTTAACCTTGTGCCTGGGTCACATGGGAAGGTGAGATTGATTTACTTCCATCTTGTGAAGCAACGATTGAGAGTGATATCAATATACTTGGAAATCTCAGGCCAGATTTGGATGTAGCAGCAGTAAAGATCCTTGTTGCCTCAATGTTTGTGGATGGCTGCTGCTATGTTACTACTCTAGATGGAGTTTTGCTGGGAAGTGCTGACCTTCCCGAACAATTTTTTCCCTTGTCCCCCATTAACAATACTGGGACGCTGGTCCTCCGTAATCGATGGAGCTTCTTTTCCTGACAAAAAAAAAAGAAAAAAAAAAGGGTTGGAGAAATGGACAATAATAGAGGCGTTTACTCGGTGCAATGGTAACTGGTAAGGGCTGTTCTCTATTAGGACACAGGTTTTGAGTTTAAGAGTAGCCACTTCTGTAAATGATGTCAAAGTTTAGGTTTGTGCCGAGAAGATCACTCCTGGCAGCCTAATGATGATGGACCCGCACAGAGTGGTTTTTTGAGGAACTATGTACATGAGAGGTTGAGGATCTTTTTGTGTGTAAACTCAGTGCTACTTTGAAGTTTTGTGGGCAGGTTGATTGATATTGTTATGAGTGTTTGTTCATGTTTCACGGCAATGTACTTGAATATTCATGCATATATGTACCATGTATTTTATAAATTTCTAAACAATGTACTTGGACAAATATCATTAGGGCTGCAAATGAACTGAGTTGAGCTGAGCTTTAGCTTGCTCGGGTTTGGCTTGCCTTGTTCAGAGGAGGGCTCGGGCTCGACCGAGCTCGGACTAGCCAAGCTCGGGCTCGGCTCGTCAGTTTTTTGTTAGGCTCGGGCTCAGCTTGGTTTTTATATGTATACATTTCCAATGAATCAAGACGCCGTTACTTCAATCGTCGACCTTTGAAATCACCCATCTATTCTCCATAATTCATTCTCCCTTTTGTCGATTCAAACTATAATTCATCCTTCTTTTTTCGATTCCAACCGTAACCATCGATCTCCATCTCCAGTTTCATCACAATATAATCAGAGTGAAGAGAGCGAAGAAGAGAGAGATTTGTCAGCTTCAGATTTCATAACCATCGATCTCCATTTCCATCAGAGAGAGGAGACAGAGAGAGTAGGAGACTAAGATAACTAACCTGCCTATAGCTGATGGAGTTATGTGATTTCTGTTGCAGACAAGTTGCTGGCAGAAGGAAACGTGTTGCTACAGCTACTAGTTTAGGATTTCTATCATTACTCAAGCTCGACTCGTTTAGTTAACGAACGATCTCGAGTCGAGCCCAAACATTTCATAAACAGTTCGATTCATTTAGAACCCTAAATATTATCATACAAGTCCAAATATATGTCATAAATTTTGATGAATAAACTTAAATAGGTTCAAGAATTAATTAACTGAGTTTAAATTGACTGAGAATATCAAATGTTAAATGTCAATAGACTCAATACTTGTAAATGCACCTTATTTGAGAATACATGAATTAAGAATCATCCAAGACATATATATATACGTATATATATGTATATAATATATTCATGACTTGATTGTTCAAGAGGGTATGAATCAGAACATAAATATTTAGTTGTGAGGTTGCTGTAAATAGGATGTGGAAGGTTGAAAATAATTCTTTCTTCAGAAAAAATGGGGAACTAAGAAAAATGATTCATTCTTTAAAAAATTAGATTTGTTTTGATTCTTTAGGATCATGTATCACGGTTCTTTCCCTAATTATGAACTTTCATCTACCGGTAGGTATTACGCACACATAGAAACACAGCATCCTTGCGATGATACGCTCAATTAAGTTTGTGGGCGATCAATCCAGCTCAAATAAGTTTGTGGGCGATCAATCCAGCTCAAATAAGTTTGTGGGCAATCAATCCAGCTCATAGTGTGGTTACTGTGAATGTTATGTAAACGCAGTACACACACACACACATATATATCATACATTTATATATATATATATATATATATATATATATATATATATACTTTATGTGGAGACAGCCATTTGAGTCTGGGGGACCACCTGGTACTATGGCTACTCTCTGCATGCTTGTTGAACGTGTTAATTCTGTAGTTTTGTGGGCTACTCATTGAAAAAAGTGGATACTGGGACTTGGGAGTTGTATTTGGTCCCCAAAATTTATGTTTCCAATGTGTCACTATTATGCATTGCTTTTCTGTCCAAATCTTGAAAAATGCAGCCTCCAGATAATTTCATAACTAATTGAATAATTTGGTGACAAAAATCCTCTCGAGGGTATTACTTGAGACATGTAACAAACGAATTATCGTATTTATGACATGAGTGATAGTGTAATGATATTTTGTCCGACTTATCATATAATTACTTAAATTATTGATATTTTATTTAAGTCTTAAAAATATCAAAAATAAATATGAAAAGAAGGTGAGGAGGTTTGTATGACCCCTCTATACAAATTGAAATATCACAAATGAATTTAATTAAGTTCATCCATGACTCTTTATTACTAAGCCAATCATAAAGTTACAAAGAAATTAAGACCATCTTATATAAATGATGAAAAATAATATGTGGCCCAAATTCAGACAAAGCATCACCATACAAAGAATATTATTCATGAAAAGGAAAATGATTTTGGAACTGAAGAATACAACATTGCCTCCTTGATTAGGATGTTACTAATTTTCATATATTTACTAAAAACAAAAATCTAATTTTCATATCATTTTGCTCTAACTAATGAATCATATCTGACTCTGACTTGTTAAGTATCCAATATATAAAATAACAACAATGTTATTGTTATGGGTCCCACTTTTCATTATCGTTTTAGATAAACATATTTAAGGAATATATTTAAAAGTAGATAAACATTTGACTAGTGTCTAATTTAGCAAATTGTTAGGTAGTTTTACCCTTATCGACGCTTAGACTTAAGTGTGAGGTCGACCACTACACAACCCCACACCCAACTCCAACTCACCGACGTTGGCTATGGAGTTTCATGAAAACTATCTATTTTCTTCCATAATAATAAATAAAGTAAAATAAAACTTACAGATTCACTTACAATAAGCAAAATATTGGTAGATCTGTATGCACAAGACCACATTAATTTATTTAACCAAAAAAAAAAAAAAAAAAAAACCACATTAATTTAAATCACCAAAGATACGTTCATCGATCACAATGATCTTGTGATTCTTACATATGATCTATCTAGTGATATGGGCAATGAAAGAATCCAACTCCAAGCGTGACACACCACCCTCCTCCACCGCCTTTCGGACCTCCCGGCCAAACTCCGCCGCCCTCTTCCTTATTTCCTCCCCTTCTTTGGACCCCATCAATCTCCTCACAGCTGTTTCTATAGTCAATGAATCCACCAACTCAGCTCTACGTGCCCAATCCTTAACCACTACACCGACTTTTAACAACTTAGCTATCAATACAGCGTTCCGAGGCTGGTCTGAATGCATAGGCCATGCTCCCATTGCCACTCCCATTGTTATGCTCTCCATGCACGAATTCCATCCACAGTGACTCATGAACCCACCTGTTGATGTGTGCCCCAATATCTCCAATTGTGGAGCCCATTCTCTCACTACAATTCCTTTCCCTTCCACTCTCTCTTCAAACCCTTTTGGCAGTACTTCAACTAATTTTCTCTCTCCAGCTCCTTCAAACACATCTCCTCTGTCGGCTTCTCTCAACACCCAAATGAACTTTTGTTCACTTCTTTCCAACCCCGTCGCCAGCTCTTTGATTTGTTCATCAGACAATGAAGTCGTCGTCCCAAACGAAACATAGATGACCGAGTTTTGAGGTTGCTTGTCGAGCCAGTCTAAACATGGATGGCATGATTTCTTGTTATGAGATACAGCTGTGACTGGATTGAAGGGTCCAAGTGCCCATTGCTTGTTGTTGTTGGTTACTTTTTTGGCGAGCAAGTCTAAATATGGACTTTCTATCACTCTGCATGTGTTGTAAAGACGGCCTGAGCTGATCTTGATGTGATCAAATTGAGTGCTGATGAATTTGATAAACTCTGCAGTGAAACATCCTTCATTGGAGGGAAGGTCTTTTAGTATATTAGCTTCAACCTCGAAAGGTCTTCCCAAGGTTTCCCAACAGTGGCAGAAGAGGGCAAAGGCGGAGACACTGTGAAAATTGTAGGACTCCGCGTTTGGTATGGAAGCCACATCTTGGACCACTGAAGCCATTAGAGAGTCATGGATTACGACAATTCTTCGAGTTTTGGGTGATAATTCTCTTAAAAGGTTCCTGACAGGCTCACGAAGTTGCGATGATGCTTCGAACAATGGTTGGAGGTGTGAGGGGAATTTGATGGAGGCATTAGGGTTTGGAGGAGGAGAGAGAAATGAAGGGGTTGGGAAGTCATGGAAATGGATATTGGCAATGTCAAAATGGTTCCCAGAGTGGATGCGGGCCTTGGCTTGGAGGTTGTGAGTGGCGGAGCTGACATAGTGGACCGGTATGTTGTAGGAGGCGACTAGGTGGGAGAGGTGGAGGAGCTGGTTGAGATGGCCTTGTGCCGGGAAGGGCACCATGACCACAACCACTTGGGAGTTTTCTAGGCGGTGGTGGGTGGCCATTGGGAGGGTTAGTTCTCTAGGAGGATAATTTGGGTTTGGGTTTTGTGGGGGGAGTTTTATAGGCCGTGGTAGGTGTCCTGACTTTATTTTATTTATTTATTTGTCTTTAACTTGCATATTGAATGTCATTTATTTGGAGAGTAAAATTTTTTAAGAAAATCTGTGGGTCATGGATTGTCCTTTAGAAAATTATTAATTTGTCTTTTTAAATTTTGAATATTTATGTTTGAATAAAAATAAAATAATGTAAAATATATTGTTAGGGACAAATGAAATAATAATTGTCACTTTTTTCTATTTATAGAAAAAAGATTTAAATTGCTTTCACATTAATAATACAATTAGAAATATGTTCAGAGATGAGGAAACCATGTACTTTTGAACTAAATCACTTTCTCACTAATAGGCAGGGGCGGAGGGAGGGGTAGGCCAGCAGGGGCCTGGCCCCCTAAAAAATAAAAAATTTATTAGTATATACAAAAATAATAATAATAATAACCCCCCCACATTAGGGCACAAGAGAGAAGTTGGAGAAAAAACAGAGGGAGAGGAAAGAGAAGGTGCTTAGGCGGTGACTCTCTGCTGTTACCATGCAGTTAGATCTCTCATCTCATATCACTCTTTCTTGGTTGAATGAATAGACGGCCAATTTTGCCTAATTTGTGACTTGTGGGAACCTTCAACAAACAAAAAAATCAATTCAAAGGCTAAAGCTGGAAAGAGAGGGAAAATCCAAACAAAAGGCGATTAAGCAAGTTAGCAACGCGAGTTGCCGAGTCCATTAAAGCTGCTCAGAGATCTCGAAGGATCGAGGCTGTCGAAGCTCAACTCAAGGTCTCACCTATCTTTTGCCCTTGTTTTTTTGAATTGATCTCTTTCAATATTATGCTAAATTGTTAATTCAATATGTTGTTGTTTGCTTCTCGTGAATTGAAAAAAAAAAAAAAAAACCCTTCCTCAGTTCCTATGAGACTATGAATTCTTGTCGACTATCGATAAGTGCGGCTGGATTCCGATTCCTTTTTTGAATTACAAACAATTTGCATTAACACTTCTGTCACTCCACATTCATATTTATTAATGTCTTAAATAAAGATTTGAAGTGGGCCAAGTGACAATTTTATTATTTTATTAGTATAGAGTCCAATAGTCTGACCTTGTTTTATTAATTGGATGGAGTTAAAATTCAATTGAATGAACATTGAACTTATTTTTTTAAATCCCATTAGGCACTTTCAGTTTGTCAAGTACATTGATATTTAGGCAATCAACGCATATTTAGACACTCCACACAATTTATTGTTTAGACACTTTACATGCCCACAATTATGGGGGATAACTTTTTTATATTTTAAATTAGTTGTTTTATATGCAATGAGGGTGCAATATTATTTTTACTCAATTATGCTTATTAGGAATTTAGGATTGATGGTTTAAATTACAATGTAAAACCCTAGGTAATAGGTATTAAAAGTTTATATTTGAATTACCTTTTTTAGGTACAGTGTTATACGATGGTGAAGCCAAAAAGAACTATTGACGTTTCTTGTCAAAAAAATGATGTGCCTTCCGCAGCTTCCACCTCTAATGTTGATGTTTCGAATCATGATAAACAGCGTCCTCCAAAATCTCCAAGAGTTGAACATACAGAAGTTGATCCTACCTTTTTAGAATGTGATCCAGGATTACGTCGTCAAATATGGGATTATCCTGTTGACAAACGTGATGAAGTTCGACAAGCTTGCATCAAAGCGAAAACATACCAAATTGTGCTTTCAGTATATCCGCTTTCTGGATCGGAAAAAACACTATTGTCAGTTTTGATCATCTTGGTTTAAATTATTTCCTACCTGGTTAGAGTATTCTCCTTCAAAGGATGCTGCATTTTGGTTGAAATTATTTTTAAATTATTGTTTTGTAAACAAATTGGCCAAATTTTGGCAAGATATATTTTTGTATGCAATTAATCGATCATGAAGTACTTTTGACTTAAAATATTATTATATTATATTGGTAAAATTTTTAATACTACGACCCCCCTAACATTGAATCCTGGCTCCGCCCCTGCTTATAGGACTCATCAAAGTTTAAGAAAGCCCCTATTTTTCATTCCATTTGGGAATTTCTCTCTTCATATTCACTGTCTGCTGCTTAAAGATATGGGAGAAAAGTCTCTTTTTCTACTCCATCTAGTCCATCTTTTCATAATTGCTTTTTAATTTTTATAAAATCTCTCAACTTAGAAATATATAGGGTTAAAAGTAAAAAAACCCCCTGAACTATAGGAGTTTTGCAACGAACCCCCATGAACTACAAGAAAACTCCCTAAACTATAACTTTGTTGCAATTTGCCCACTCAGGCCATCGGAAAAGAAGAGGATGAAACTGCCCTTCCAATAAAACGATGCAGTTTGTCAAAATTGACCTTTATCCACTATGACCCGAGCCTAAAGAAGGCGGCGAAAGGCTGTGGAGCGACGGGAATATGTTTGTTGTGTGTGTATTGATATAGATAAATAAATGTGTATATATGTATATGATTTTATGTATAAATTACGGTTTGGAGAGGATGGGAAAATGACTGACATACACCACCTTCGTCGACCATGATGACAGCCAAGTAACCGTCTTAGAAGGTCTCGACGTCCATGATGATGGAGTAAGGGTAGAGAGAGAAAGAGGAGCAAGGACGATACTGGAGTTCCTGAGAAAGAGAATGGATGGTGGTGATCCGGCGAAGGCGCAGGCCATCAAGTTGTGGACAAGTAAGAATCCGCTCTTCTTCGAATCCACAAGCACCATCGGCCGCCGTGGCTCCACTGCGGCAGCTCCAATTTCAGAATCAGTGATACAGGCGGCATAATTCTCAACCCCAATCACATCGCAAAATTCTCAACCCCTCACCAAACTCATTCATAAGAATTGATTTGCAAAATCCAATTAAAACGTACTCAATCGCAAAACCCCAATAATATTTTTTCACAATCACCAAGCAAATCCATCACAAATATATGTAATTTTTTTTTTTTTGGTGTGTTTGGTGGCCGAATTTAATGGTTGAAAACCTACGGAACAATCACCGGTGGTGATTGGTGGCCGGATTTTTGGGTGGTGTTTGGTGTTCGTTCATCTCCTCTTCGTAATGACGGCGAATTCGCCCAAATTAGCCTCCACGCCTTCCCTGTGCTTGATCGTAGCAGAGAGTTGATGTTGAGGCAAAGGGCATGAAGAAGATCATGGTGCGGCTCAAAATTCAGTCTGGCTACGATGGTGGTTTGTGGTGTTCAGTCCAGTAGTGATGGTGGTTTGTGGTGTACATCGGTGCACCGCAGCAGAGAGTTGATGTTGAGGCAGAGGGTGTGAAAAAGATCACAGTACGGCTTACCCCAGATTCTGCTGGACTGGACTGAAGCTCACCGGAGTCAGATCTGCGTGTAATGTATGTGTATATGTGTCTGTATGTATATGTGTATATGTGTGTTTGTTTGTTTATGTGTATTTGTGTGTATATATGTGTCTGCGTATATTTACATAGTTGTTAGTGGTTGGTGGTCGGCCATGGTGATGGTAGGTCGAGGGGAGAAACGACAAGATCGGTTTTGTGTATAACAGGTGTATAAGGGTGTGTTTGGCTTTGTGGTAAAAAAAAAAAAAAAAAAAAAAGGCTTTTCATGCTTATAAGGGTATTATAGTCATTAAGTTAAATATTGAGGGTAACGTGATGGGCACATGGTCGTTTCACGGCAAGTTTGGGACGAATTTGACCGGTCCTTTACAAGGGTCGCGATACCAAGTCAAACTTGAAGAGTTGTGAATTTAGGAGGTGGCCAAGTTTTACATTTATAGAAAGCCACTACTACCTTTCTCTATATAAAATATAGATAGGGCGAGTAGGGATCGTCCCAAGGGATTTGATGGTGTATCGAATTGTGAAACTATGGTAATTAGGGTTAGTAGGTCGAGTGATCACACAATTGATTGGTTGGTTGATTAAGCTAAACTGAATTCAACTAAATAAAATAATATGAAGTAAACAAGAGAGAGAGAGAGGTCTTGGGGTGTAGAGATCACCACCAAGCAATACTTTTCTATACCACTAACAAGTGATCAATTGAGGGTAATGGATGTGTTGCAATATGATAAGGGTGTGTGTGCATTAGGTTGATTCAATTGGCAAGGATGACAAATCAAGCAAGTATTGTCTAAACATCATGTGAAGAACACAATATATCTAAACAATAGAGCATATATTGTTTAGACAACATGGGGATAACACAATAGATCAAAACAAGTCATTAATCCTTCATTAAGCTCACAATCCACATACAACACAATATTAGAGGAATATGCCATTTGGACTCACAAGCATAGAACATCAAACATCAAGAGTAGATTGTCCTCCCATCTAACATTACACTACCACTACACTAAATCTACACTACTAGCATGAAAATAAAGCTATCTAGACTAAGGGAGAGGCACAAACCATCAAGAATAGGCATAAACCATCAAATGAACCAAAATAGCATTCATTAAGCATATCATCTTGATAATCTCTAGATCTATAGCATCAATACACATAGACATGCATCAAAAACACTAAATCTAGAGATAAACACATGAATATCCTACTCTAGCATACATAGACATATGGATAGAATAGAATAGTCAATTGGAAGCATTAAACCATACAAACCATGAAATAATCAAGATTTATATATACATGAATATCAAGATGTATCATACAACACTAATCCCTCAATAATACACAAGATTAGAGTATAGAAAGCATGCTTGGGGCTAACTCTAGCCCCAAGAGGATGTCTAGCCACTCATGGTAGTGATGATCCAACCCTCAAGGGCTAACTCCATGGCTGCTCCTTGTTGGTGAAGATCTCTTCCAATGGTATTCTAGCTTCCCTCCTTCCTCCTCTCCAAGAATAGCCTCTAAGATCAATTTTCAATGTGTGACAAGAGACTCCCTCAAAAAGTGTATCATATTCCTTATATAGGTAGGTCAAATACACCCCATGATGAGCTGTGGTCGTGCAAGGCATATTCTCCAATGATTGGATGAAGGACGGAATAAATGAGCTGGACTTTAACTTT